GAAGAGCACTTTCAAGAGCTGTTCTTTTTTTTTCAAGGAACAGTCTAGGTTGAAAAAAAAGTTTTAGGTCGGTTTTTGAGGGGCGAATTTTGATTTTTGAACTTTCAAAAGTTTTATATGATTTTAGTGATACAAATTTCTCCGTTTTTGTTTGGAAAACTAACAAATTTTTTTTCAGCTATCATTTTTTGGGCGAAAAATCGACGAAATGTGTCAAAAATCTTACATTTTATGCTTCAAAAATCATTGAAATCTTGAAAAAAATTAGACTTCAAAAAAATGACCTTTTTTTCTAAAAAAGATTGCGTAAACTCATAAAAAAACAAATATATAACCACTTTATTTCAATTTTAGCGGTAGGAAAAACCAAATTTCTTTCATTTTTTTGATGTAAAAAAATTCGAAAAAAATTTGTCAATTTTTGGAGCATCTTAAGCTTCAAAAATCATCAAAAATTTTCCACAAACACCTTTGGAAAATGTGATTTATACTTAGAGGAACTAATAAATCATCATTTCTCTTCAAAAACAAGACAAAAACTCAAAAACCACCAAGCCCCGGGTGCAGAGATTCCCAGTGGAAACGGCTATCAATTTATCAGCAATCAGGCCTCATTTATCAACTTTGTGCGCTTCGCCGCACTTGAAACGCAAGGAGAAACATGTTAAACTCGCAGCAAAATTCCGATTCTTATCATTTTTTGACGGAAAATGATTGGAAGTTGTGAAATTTCGAGAAAAATTCGTTAAATTTTTCCATAATTTTTTTCAAAAAGGTCAAGAATTTTTCTAAATTTTGAAATTTTCAAGCGATCAAACTTTGTTTAAATGTTGAAGTAGCATGAAAAAAAAGTCGATTTTTATCATTTTTTTGAGGAAAAAAATGAGTGAAAAATTGTGAAATTCTTAGATAAAAAAATTACGAGGAGTTGTGAAATCGTCTGTAATTTTTTTGAAAAAAACTATGAATCTCTTAAATTTCTAATTTTTCAGAGAAGAAACTCATTAAAAACTTTTTTTTTTCAGCAAAAGAAAAAAATTATTTTTTTCCTAAAGAGTTCATGCGGAAAATTATGGAATTTCCATGAAATTCATTTAAATTTCCGTGTTTTATGAAAAAGCAAACTTTCTACGGCTAGAAAAAAAATAAAACTTCATTTTTTTGCCCCAAAAAATTATTTTAAAAAAATCGGCTTCATTTGAAAAAAAATCCTTTAAATAAAAAAAATTTACAGTGAAATTGAGATTTTTAAGCTTTTTCCTATTCTTCAAAAACTGAGAAAAAAGCCTAAATTTCGAATATTGTACACAAATTTACCATTACAGCATTAACAAATCTTTAAAATTCCAGTGAACTTTTAAAAACCAACAGAAATTTTTGACCGATTCTGGTTTCTGAAGCAAAATCGCATTTGAAGACACTTTTTCCAAAAAATAATCCATTTAGTCTCTTAAAAACATTTTCAGAACCAAAATAATCAACACTAAACTTCCGCTAATGCAATTACTGTCATTACCGAACGTGTCCAGTTTTTTTTTCGTTTTCAAAAAATCAAAAACCGACCGAAATCGACGAAAGGAAGGGGTTTGATGGTTTGATGGAGTGATAAAGAATGATAAATTTGGTTCGCAACAAAAAAGTGTGTTCATTTGGATGCAAATCTGTGTGCCCAACTGATATTTGTATCGAAGGGAAAACTTCTGTTTGCACTGTTCTCAACTGTATTAAAACTACAGTTTGAGGTCGTTTTTTGTGTTTTTAAGCTGTCGAGACTGAAGATCGAACTGAAAGGCTATAACTGAATAAAAAAATAGTCTTGAAAAAAATTCATGTTTTTCTTAAATTATCAATTTTTTTCAAGTTCTTCAATAGAAATTATAGCGAAAAAAAGATGATTCCGCACAAAAAAATAAAGTAATTTTTCCTTGAAAGTCACTTAAAACCATAAAAAAACCTTATTTCTATACAATTTTCTAACTTTCCAAAGCTGATTTGACGAAAAAAATCACAAAAAAAGTTCTATAAAAAGTGATAATTTTCTCAAAAATTTCTACACCAAGTCAGAAAAAAAGACCAAATTTATACAATTTTCCAACTTTCCAGCCACGATTTGTCGGAAAAATCTTCAGTAAAATGGTAAAATTCTTCAAAAATTCAATGGTAAATCGAAAAAAAGACCTCGATTTTATAACGTTTTCTCATAATTTTGGCCTCAAATTGACGTGAAAAAAATTCAAAAAAAGCTCTACAAAAAGAGATAATTTGGTCTCAAATTCTAATTTAATGCAAAAAAAATCATTTTACAAATTTTACAACCTCGATTCAACAGAAAAAGCTCGAAAAAAAGCAATAATTTTTTTGCGAAATTCAATTTCTAAGCGCGAATTATCCCATTTTTCTACATTTCGCAGCTTCAATTTAACTAGGAAACTCAATAAAAATTAGAAAAAAGCAATCTTTCCGGTAAAAAATCACAAATTACCTTAATTATATACAATTATCAACACTTTCCAGCCGAAAATTAACGTAAAAACTTGAGGAAAAAGCTCAAATCGATGCGAAATTCGATAGGTTTGCAGCTGGAATGAGCGCGGAAAAAGAAGATAATAAACTGAAAGTGAGGCGGACAACGGCAAAGTGAACATCGCACTGATAGGATGTGCAAACAGTTGGGAAGTGCGTACAGCACAAAAGACACAAAAATCCCTATTATTAGTCACGAGTTGATGGCTTTTTCGCAGAGGAGAAAAGTGTTAAATATGGTATTTATTTATTTCAAGACACGGAAAAAGTCAAACAGTCGAAAAAAGCCTTCAATAATCATCCTAATGGCTTTTCAGTACTTTTTAGAGCTTTAGAAAGATGGAAAATGTGTTGAAAAGTTGAACTTCATAGAAAGTTTCATAAAAAGAAAAAAATAAAAATGCGGAAAAAGGGTAAGAAAAAGTTAGCGAAGAAACTTTTTTTGCGAATTTCTAGGTACTTTTTTTATTTTTTTAAGCCTTTTTGAAAAAGTCACTTGGGCTTTGCCCGCGCTATGAAATGACAAAAAAATTTGAAAAAAACTATAAATTTTTTTAAATGATTATTAAAAAGGCTGAAAAATATGCAATTTTCATCATTTTCTGTTCAAAAACTTCCTTGTTAGAGTGTCGAAAGGCGAAAGTTCTTCTGTTTTTTTCTGATTTCTGAGCCTTTCATACTTTTCATCTCATTAGTCAGATTAATTAAAAAGTTTTTTTCTCAACCCTAGATTTTAGAAATTTAGCCTGAATCAAATAAATCTCCTTAAAAGGTCCTGAAAAGGATAAAAATTACCCGAAACCCTGAAATTCTCCTATAATAGGTCTACTATACTTGACAGCTTTTCATTGAACTCGAAATTCGAAAAAAAAAATTTGCTGAAAATTTTCAGGCTATCTTCCCTTGGAAAACTACAATTATTAGAACTTCAAACCAACTTTTCTTCAATGAAAAATAGCCTAACCTCAAAAAATTACGTGAAACTGAGAAAAAAGCGAAAATGAGGCGACGAAAATGTCATCGATCCTTCGCGTAACGCAAACAAATGCCCATTTCTCTTCTCCAGTTTTTTTTTTCTAATTTTGCGGAAAAAAAGCCCAAGAATGCGACGATGAACTTGAAGAAAGTGAAAAGATCGGGTTACTTTGGTTAGTTAAAAAAAAAAAAGAAGTACGGCAGCTGCCGACTTTACAACAAGTTGAAACTGTTTTTTTCCTTTCTTTTTGACGAAAAATTCAACAAAAAAATGCACTTGCCAAGGTTCAAAGTTCCTTTCAAGCAAAAATTAAGAGATTCTGAGAGAAAAAAAAAAAAGAGAAATGCATCCTTGGAATTCCAGGAAGAGCTCAAAAATCAAGCGAAAAACAAAAAGACAACCCCAAGCCCATCAATTTTTTTCGAGCAACATGCGTCGAAAAGATGTTTCGGCTCATTTTTTTCTGAATTTATAATGAAAAAAGCGAGAAACTGGGGCAACGTGTGGTAAATTTTTTTGACATCAAAAAAACTTCTAGGAGAAATACTTTTTTTCTAAACTTTTACCTAACATAGAAAATGCAGTTTTTTCTTTTTAACGTTACACAGAACAATTTGGTTTCCGTTTTTATAAATATCTAACAATTTGAAGAGTTCGAAAAAAACGGTTGAAAAACGCAGAAAAAAACACATTTGAAAATAAAAAAACCAACCTTCCTTTTTTTTCAAAGTTCTTTCATTCTATTTTATATCCGCATCATCATATACTCTTTAAAAGCCAGCGGACTCCTCATTGAACACTTTATACAACAAAAAACGAACAAAAATGAAGAAAAACGAAAGAAAACGGCTTCAAAAAATTTTTGGGCGACACCTCGGGGGATCGTCAATGGAGCACATTTGTCGCGTGTGACCTCTTTTTTTCTTGCCGCGGGTGCAGCTGGCTCAACAGCTGCGAAAATGCACCTGGGTTTCACATGTTATCGTGAAATTCGAACAAATAAGTTGACGAAGCATGCTGAGAAAAGAAGAGGAGCAGGAAAATCTTTTTGACAGAAGAAAATGAGAAAAAAAAGCAATTGATTTCGCAGGTTTGAAATTTTTCGCTATACTTTTTATCACTATTTTGCATATTTTTTCGAATTTTTGATGTATTTTAGTGGCGTTGGAAGGCTCGAAGTGCTTGATTCCTCGCAGCTACAGAACCCTTCGCTTCGAAACCCGGAGCCTGTCATTGCGCATGCGCCTTTAAAATAACGACTTGAACAAAACATTTTCACGCTAATTTAAAGGCGCATGCGCTGAAACGGTAATTTTTTTTGTTTCTCAAACTTTTCTTTTTGAAGTTTTTATTTCAAACCATCCCAAAAAACAAAATTCCCCTTCAAAAATCGCTCAGACTTCATTGCAGCATCTCAAATTCGAAAAAAATAACGTGTAAATCGATGTTTATTCATGGAAAAAATACAAATCCTGCATAAAATGTGCTTATTATGACTTCATCAGCCACGTGATTTCATGGCACTTCCAACGGCTTTCAGAAAGTCCAAAAAGCCTTTGAGGAGATTTTTGAAGAAAGAGCCGTCAACTTTGGGCATTTTGAACGAGGTTTTCACTTTCAACTTTGGAGAGGATTTCGGAACGACCTTTTTCACATTGGAAACGACACTCTTGACTTTTATTTTCAACTTCATTTTTTTTGGTCCGAGGTCCAAGTTCTTGATCTTTGAAATTCCTGCTTGGATGGTTTCGAACTCCGATTGGCCGAAGATTGGCAAAAAGCTCGACTGGAGAAGCTGGAAAAAAGTTGATGAGAATGGGTTAGGCGTCGCGGTCGCGTTGCGGTTTCAGCAGTAAAAATGAGTCTTGGTTAATTAAAGTCTTTTCAATCCTAATAATTTACTTATACTGTTCAAAAATCAGTATTTTCCGAGAGAAAATCAATCTTCCCTCCGGGCCCAGAAAACGGTGTACACAAGTTTGCTTACCGTAACCTAATATTCAAAAAGACAAAATTCGGTCAAAAGTTTCCAAATTAATCCTGATATGAAGATTTTCAAGAGAAACAGAAAAAAAAATCAGGCGAAAACGAGAAAATGACCACTTTAGGGTTTCGAAGCTTCAGTGGCCACTAAAGTAATCGAACAAGTGGCCACTTAAGTGGCTAAAACTTGGTGTTGTGCTCAGAAGTCTGAATAATACTACTGGGCTACTAAAAAAGAAAAAGATAACTCTAGTAGCCACTTAAGAGGGTGCTCGAGGACTACTTGTAGGGGACACTAAAGTGGCCACTAAAACCACCCCTATAGAAGCCACTTCTTTGCGTCTTAGTTTAGTAGCTTTTAGTAGTACGACTTAGGAAAGAGGTCACTAAATATTAGCCACTAAATGAACCACTTAATTGTCGAAACCCTAAAGTGGCCACTAAAAATTTCGCCATTATGAAAACTCATTTTTTTAGGCCTTTTAAAAAAATTATTATATGTATGATAAAAAGCAAACATACGCTGCCCTGTGATGAATCGTCCGTGATTTGATCAACGACGGGAGTTTCTTCTGAATCCTCTTCTACAGTATCCCCGTCTCCTTCAATCTTCTTGATCATGACGTCTTCTGGCTCCTCCTGAAGTCATTTCTGGACTTTTTTGGATTTTTCCCAGCCTCTTTTACTTCTTCATCCGTCGAAATAAAATCCTCAAAGTCTTCCTGATGGTCGCCGAACATGTTGGTGCCATAGACAACTTTTCTGGTTATCTGAAAAAATTAAACTTGGAAAAAAAATCATTTATTCACCTGATAAAATGAGCTCCAGGCGGCTGGTAGCCTGAAAAATTTATTTTATTCCATGAAAAAAATTAAATAAAAAAACTTGAAAGGTACATGGTTTAACTCAAAAAAAGTTTTTTTATTTGCATCCGACCACGAAGCGACTTGCGCTTTTGGGCATATTAATAAGTTGAAACTTCGATGTTTCGGAAAAAAACTCAAAAAAATTTTAAATTCATACACTTCTTATTAGCTTCTCAAAATCTTTCATTTCTCTATTTTTGAATTATTTTTTTATTATTCAAAAGAAGTCTTTTAAGAAAAATAGCGCAATTTTTGATTCATTCATATAGGTCGTTCCGCGCCAGCTTGTCACGATTTTAATTTTCCTCGGAGCTAGAGAACACCTTTCGGCGCTTCGCTTCGATGCTCTCGGTGTTCACCCCTGCGTGCGCCTTTAATAAAAAATTATTTCTGGTTAAGATATATATAATCTTTTATTATTTACGAGGTTGTTTTTCAGTGGATTGATTTCATTTCTCGCTTTAAATATACACACTAAGATTCTGTGCTGGATTTGTAAAAAAGGAAATTCAAAAAAATATTGAATTATTAATTTTTAATTGTTAATAATGAAACCGTCTGTTTGAGCTTCTCTTGCATATAATTTTTGGGTTATTTTGATATAAAATTTGATGTCACAACTGTTTTTGTAAAATAAGAAAGTTCCAAAGTTCGGAAATAATGAGTTTTATTAAAGGCGCACGCAAGGGGGCACACCGAGAGCATCGAAGCGAAGCGCCGAAAAAAAGGCTACTGTAGCTCCAAATAAACTGGAAATCGTGACAAGCTGGCGCGGAATGACCTATAATAGTTTCTATGAATAAATAAAAAAAATTTTGAATCTTTCGAAAAATTCCAATTTACTCACCCAACTAATATCAGTAAGAAAATCAAAGCCTTGTTCATTTTTGAACAGTTAAGGCTCCAGAAATGATAATTTTCATCGATAAAACACGATTGGAGTATACGTCATGAAACCTTTCCAAGCAATAAAAGTTCAAATAACGACAGGAAGGATTGATAAAGCAGTGATAAAGATATTTTCGTCTTTATAAAACGATTTCTGATGAGACATTGATTGGGATTTTTATCAGTGACGATGCGACTTCTCGGCTTGATTTTTATTCTTTCGGGGCATGTTTTATTTTTTTTCAAAAAAATAGATCTGAAAAGGAGATAAGTGAAAAAAACCAAACCGTTTTTTTAATAAACCTAAAATGAACATTTTCTTTTAATTCCCTCATTCAGAAGTTTTTTTACCAATTTTCAGGTGCTACCTCCTTTTTTTGCTGAAGGCGCGTCTTCAAGCGTAAGTTCTTCTTTGAGAAAAAAATTTATTTTTTTGAGCTCTTTTTGTTGAATTATTTTAAATTAAAAAAATTGTTTAAAAAAAGGTTGAGTTCTCGCAAAAACGCATTTTTGGAGCAAATATGCTCTATGGACTAAACGTCATTTTCCGCTTTCTCGGACCTCGGTCACTCGAATGCTGAGCAGGGTAACCCAGCCGTGCTAACACGGGGTCTCCGCGGGTGCCCCCGTATTGAACCCGTATAAGCCCAGCTGATAGAACTTTTGGCACTTTTTTGCCCAACTGAGACCCCGCTTTAACCCAGCTGGGTTACATATTTTTCTTACACCCGTTGTTCCCCCGTTTTAGCCCAACTGAGACAAAAATAACCTCAGAAACACGGGTTTAATACGGGTACACCCGTTGAGACACCTGCTCAGCATGCGAGCAGGCTTGTGCGAGGGTCGGCCCGTGAGCCGCCCGGCCTGACGCACAAGCTGGACCCCGGTAGACGCGGACGTTTCCTAGCATTTCTAGGGGTCCCTTAAGGGCTCTAACGCCGCTGCTTACTAGAAATGCTCAGAATTGTCCGGTTTTCGTTACCAAGGACCGATTTTTCTCATTTCTTTTTTGTCGCAAAGTCAAAAGGAAGTTCTTCTCAGAAATTATAGACTTTTTGACAATTTTGCATATTTCGGTACTAAAAGCTCTGAAATCTCTATTTTTATCTGGTCATATGTCTTCAATAATCACAAAAAGCTGTCCATGACTCATCTGTGAAAGAAAAAAATCACTCAAAGCCGCAAAAATCTACAATCAGCCAAACTGATTCGATTATAAAGTGATTTGAAAAAAGGAAAAAGAAAACCTTGCAGTCCGATGAGCTTTTGAAGGCAGCCAGAAGTGGACAGGTCGAGGAAGTCAAATTACTTCTTAAAAGAAAAGTCGACGTTGAATATCGGAACACCATGGGCGAGTCGGCCCTGTACGTCGCCGCCAGAAATGATCATTCTGAAGTCGTCGAAGTCCTTCTGAAGCATGGGGCTCTGGTTGACGCCGCTAATAAGGTGAGACATGGAGGACGTTCGAAAAAGTGAAATTTGGTACATCCATGTTATTGTAAATGTTTCCCGAAATAAAAGCGAAGGAGGCGGGGCAAGGGGCGGGACGCGCAGCGTGTGCGTTCGCGGTTCTTGGCACGAGTTCAATTCAATTGTCGCCGACTATTTAAAAAGCTCGGCAACCGCTCTTTTTCAATGTTTTCTACTATTTTTTGATGCACACATGAACATAATCCATAAATAACTGAAAAAGGAATGAAAAAACGCGGAAAACAGGCTTTTCAAAGAGTAGATAGCGGTTAAATTGAACACGTGCCAAGAACCGCGAACGCACACGCTACGCGTCCCGCCCCCTGCCCCGCCTCCCTCGCCTTTCAAGTCGGGAAACATTGACTACATCTCAGAATATTCCAGCATGGATATACGGCCCTACACGAAGCTGCCCGATTCGGACTTTCAAACACTGTGAAGGTCTTATTGGACCACGGGGCTTACGTCGATTTCGAAACAAAAGAAGATGAACTTTCTCCTTTATACCTTGCTGCATTGAAAGGCCATCCACTGGCTGTTATTCGGCTCATTGAACGAAAAGCTGACGTCAACTTCAGGTCTTCAAAAAACCAGGTAAGAGTTATAACTTGTGCGGTATGTGCGAGAGCGCCGCAGTGTACGCACACGACACACTGCATTTTACGGAAATCTTGGCGGTATCCCGGAAAAAGAGATGAAAGTTTCTGGAAGATTTGAAAAGATGTAGAAAAGAAAAAGAAAAATAGGTTCAACGACAAGAGAGAATTTTCCATTTTCGAGGAGTACTGTATGCGGATATGCGCATTGCGTGCATACACTTTGCGTGTTTACACTTTCGTTGCGTGACGTCACCGGGTATGACATCTCCGGGTTTTTTGTTTCCGACTTTTTTTTTTCGAATCTTTTTCAATTTTTTTTTCTTGGCAGTGTTTTTATCGTGCAAATATCCTCGAGAAAAATGCAAATCTTGAAAAAAAAAACTCAGAAACAAAAAACCCGGAGATGTCCTACCCGGTGACGTCACGCAACGAAAGTGTAAACACGCAAAGTGTATGCACGCAATGCGCATTTCCGCATACAGTACTCCTCGCAAATGGAAAACTCGCTCTTGTCGTATAGTCGATGTGCCACAAGTTGAAATTTCATGGAACGACACTCCGCTGTTTCGATTTGTGCGGTAGCGCGCATCGTGAGAATTTGCCAACCTCGGCCACGCTAATTTTTTTTTGGTTTTAATTCTAAATTTGATCGTTTTTTAATTGTTTTATTTCTTTAAAATGTATTATTATCGTTGAAAAGGATCGCGTTTTACAAATGTAAACGAAAGAACACAGTAAATTTCATGATTTTTCTCGAAAAAAGCGATAAAAAAATTTTGAAAAACTTTATGTATTCGGCAATCTCTTTAATATTGTTTTTCTCGTTTCTCAAAAAAGTTTTCAAAGTTTTACCAAAATGATTTGCGGGTGAAATAGACCGTAAACGTCACAATATTCTACAAAAGTTTCTGTGTTTTTTTAAGGCCATGTTTAAATGTTTTCATCGTTTTTTTTTTGTCTGTGAGTGGCTTATAAAATTAAGACGTGTACGCACTATGGAATAGAGAGATCGGTTTTAGTCAACATAAGGTTTTCCACTGCCCTGGTTGAACTATTGGCATTCCGAAAAACTTTATTCATCCATTGCACTGCCGAAAAGTTCATGGAACTAAAGAATTATCTAAGAAACTGTACAGGGTGGCTCAAAATTACCCGCACAAGCTATAAGTGCTATATAAAAAAAGTAAAAAGTCAGAAAAACTATGGGAATCAACAAAAAAAGTTTATTCATGATCATAACAACAATTATAAACTACTCGTGTTCCATCCGGTCTCCTCTCTTTCCGATGACAGCACGAAGACGTCTAGGGTACGCGTCGATGGTTGCACGCAGGTAATCTGGCGACAAAGTGTCTCATTCCTAGACCAGGGTCTTGTTCAGGGCCTCGATACTCGAGTGGGGTTTGACGTTGACCTTGTTTTGCAAAACCCCAGAAGGAGTAGTCCAAAGGATCGAGGTCTGGTGAAAACGGTGCCGTTAGTCATTCGGGATGAACGCAGGCAAATGGGTCTCGGACCACTGTTGCGACAACTTGGCTGTGTTTGCTGGAGCACCGTCTTCTTGGAGCATCCAGGGACGTCTATTGAAGTCCTTCTGAGTCCAGGGAAGAAGTTTCTTCTTCAAAATCTTTGAAATGTAGACTTCCTTGTTGATTTTTACTTCTTGATCGACAAATAGCAATGGTGTCTTGCGATCAGCAGACTCTGCTCCGAAAACCATCACACTAGCGGGGTGAGAGGCTCGATGAATGGTCCTTCCGTTGCCAAAAGCTTCGTCAGACGTCTTAGCAAGTACTCGATGATTTCGAGGGTTGAATTCGGCCTGTACCGTGATCAGCTTCTCGTCAGAGAACACTGTAACCAAGTGTTCTTCAGTGCGCGTGCGCTGAAGGAGCTTTATTGATATTTCAAGCCGTTTCTTGGTTGTAGCTTTCGAGAAAATGACTGCTTTTCCTACATGATAACAGGTGAGCTTCAGCTTGTCTTTGAGGATCCTTTCCATCGAACTTCGACTAATTTTCATATCTTTCGCCATCTTTCTGATGCTCCGGACTGAATTTCTTCTGGTTCTATCTTTCACAGCTTTGATCCGATCTGGAGTGACGACTGTTGCTTTTCTTCTTCTCCCACATCTACCCAAGAACGTGCCGAGCTTTTTGAAACAATAAATCGAGTCATAGACGGTTCTACTTGGGACTCCGAGCCGTTTAATGATGTCAACCGGAGCGACTCTTGCTTTGAAAAGGTGCAGAATCGAAGAGCGATGTGGATTTAGTGGTGCCATTTACCGAAAACAGAACCGATTGATCTGAATTTTGGCAGAATGGTAAAAAAAACATACAGTTAATTAAAATTTTAAGTAATACGCGGCCAGAATTGCGTCGATCGCCTTTCTATATCGCGTCAAACTTTTGTGCGGGTAATTTTGAGCCACCCTGTATTTGAAAACGGCAAATTATAAAATGGGAAAGCGTGACCGAAATCCGCAAAGGCATTGATTCATCACGGCCACAAGGCCACCGAGCGGAGTGTCGTTCCATGAAATTTCAACTCGTGGCACATCGACTATAGCATCGAAAAATATTCCCTCGGTTTTTCAAACATTTGTTGAGCTCTTATTCAAAGGAAGATCCACTTTCTTTTTAATTTGAAAGTTTCAAATATTTGATCAGTATTGGAAACATCGAACTCCATTACACGCCGCCACGATTGATGGATACGCAGGAATTGTCAAAATATTGATCGAAAATGGGGCAAAAGTCAATTCGATCGATGCGACTGGACGAACTGCTCTACATTATGCAGCTAGCGGCCGTTCCATAGAGATTTCGGCCTATCTTTTGGTCAGAAGGGCCGATATTTCGATCAAGGACAAGGTTTGATGATTTCGAAAAGATGAAGCTCAGTTTTAGGATGGCGATAATGCTACGGAGATCGCTCGAAGGAAGGGTGCTGGGAAGCTGGTGGAATTGTTGGAAGCGCACCAAAAGGTTGGAAGAACTCGGGCAACGTCGGGATGGAGGCTCAAAAAGGCCGTAAAAAGAGTCCCTTTATCGAGATTTTCATTTTTTGGGATTTTAAAGGCTCGAGAAATGGTGGAAAAAGGGAGAGGCAGCAAAAATGGTGCAAAAAGGCAGCAAAAATGGACCCTTTTTCCACCTTTTCCGATTTTTTCTACGAAGAAGGAGCAACACGGGCAAAGTCCGAACGGCTTTCAAAAAAAAAAAAGAATCCAGAGCTCCTTTTTGAATTTGAAAAAAAAGTCTCTAGGAGCCTACTCTTTTCCGCCTCCGTTTAAAAAAAGGTCATGAAGCCTTTTTTTAAAGCCTTTCTCAACTTTGCCCGTGTAGCTCGTAATTTTTCAGATTTTCAATCAGACATATAGGAAGTAAAAAGTGATATTGAATACCCTACTGTTTGAAAAAATTCTGAATTTTTCGAGAAAGAGATTTTTTTTTCCAAAAAGGTGTCTGCGTACACAAAGTTGCTTACCGTAATCTAATATTGATGGAAATTGATAATGGCCTATAGTCTGTTCAGATTTTGAATGTCAAGTGCAATGACGTCATTCAAAAACACTCTGTGGATGGCTCGCTCTCTGATTGGTTTATCGCACCATTAGGGGCGGAGCTTGAGCGACGACTTGACATTTAAAACTTGAATAGATTATAAAAACTCGAAAATTTTATCCTAATCGCAAGCCTTCCTGACGGAGAAGTCCATGTTAGCACAGGAAAAATGAAAATGACTTTTGTCCATAGAGCAACTTTGCTGAAATGAATCAAACTTTTCGATTTCACAGGAAAAATGAAAATGACTTTTGTCCATAGAGCAACTCTGCTGAAATGAATCAAACTTTTCGATTTCTGAAATTATTCCCTTCAAATTTTGTTAGAAAGGCAGTTAGAAAAAATACGAATCCTCGGTTTTTACTTTAAAAATGATTACATTCTCAGAAAGAAGAACTCTTCCGGAATGCGTCCAAAAACGGCGACCTGGACGAAGTCCGGATGTACATCCGACGTGGGATGAACATCGATTCAAGAGACCCGGAGAATAATCAGACCGCCTTGATGTTCTCGGCCAGCCAAGGACATTGGCTGGTCCTCAAAGAGCTCTTGAAAAGAGGAGCCGACGTTGACGCCAGAGATAAGGTTGGATTGAGCCCCTACAAGAGAGTCATTTCACTTTGGGGTTGAAAATTTGTTAGATTCATTGAGGAATCTGATGAAGATTCTGGAAATTTGAACCTGCACAGCTGTCTAGTTTTTGAGAAAGGATACCTTAAACTTTAAGGCTTAAAGTCAAAGAAAACCATCAAAGTTGGTCAAAATTAACTGTTCTGAGCCCGTATTTCTCGAAAACTAAAAAGTTGTGTAGGGGGAGACTTCCAGAATCTTCTTTTGGTACATCAAAGACAGTTCTGGCGGGAATTCCGGAGAGTCTCAACCTCAATGTGAAGCGTCCTTCAAACTGAGACTTTTTCCAAATTAAGGTACCTCAGAAAATGCAATATTTCTAGCCGCTCTTTGATGTTTTGCTTCTAAAATCTTGAAGAATTGGTATTTGAAGAAGTACTGTTATATTGGCAAGCGTTTCGGAATCTCCCTTATACGGTCTAGAGGATATTTTTCAAAACCCCTTCAGATAATCACTCTTTTTAAATTCCAGAAAAAAATCAAACTTCGTAAAAATCTATGTACAGTCTGTGTGCCACGACTTCGAATTTCACGGAACGACAATCCGCTGTTCCGCTGCGTCCGGTCGCGGAGCGTATTTGCTAATTTTCGTTGCGCTTTCAATTGGTTATCATTGCTGGAGTAGACAGATTTACACTGGGAAAACGTGAAAGTCGAGTATTTGAAAAAAAAAAGATTTGGAAGCGTGACCGAGAATTGCAAAGACGCTTCGCGACCGCACGCTGCGAAACAGCGGAATGTCGTTCAGTGAAATTTCAATCTGTGGCACACAGACTATAAAACATTATTAATTCAATTTTTTAACTTAAAGGATGGTCACACGGCTCTTCATCTGGCCGCAGTTTCCACCGCACCTAAGAAAATCTTAGCAAAGCTGGTGGAATACGGATCTGATGTTGACGCCCCGTCGAATTCTGGAAGAACTCCCCTATACCTGGCTACGGCTCACAACCGGATCAGTGCTCTGAAAGCTCTGATCGAACTCGGCGCCGATGTCAACTTTTGTCCAACTTCAATGAAGGTTCTGTTCATGATTATTCGCCTCGAAAGTTTCCGAGTCTCTGCGTCTCTGCGTCTCTCTATTCCGAGGTCAGAGAAACATGAAAAGAGCACGTGAAAACGAGAGGGTCGCCGAGAGACAGAGAGGGCGCAGAGAAGTCCTTTCAAGTCGCGAGAAATGGTCTCTTCGCGTCGCGTCTCTGCGTCTCTGTCCCGAGGTCAGAGAAACATGAAAATAGCACGTCAATATGAGAGGGTCCTATGCCTGAGACCGTTCTGTCCTGTATCCTATGTCACGAGACAGTCTGGTCTCTCTGCGCCTTCTTCTTTTACGTGCTATTTCCTGTTTCTGTGACCTCACCGAGGGAAAAGAGACGCAGAGAGGTCAGGATAAATGAAATCAGTACTTGCACACGAGAGAGAGAGATATAGCTGATTCACGGCTGGCTTGAGCCATCAAAAAAAAGGGTCCTGACACGATAATGCACGAGATAGTGCCTGGATCGTGGAGAGTGCAGAGAGACCACGCCCCTTAGCGTCTCAAGCTAACCGTGAATCAGATATACCATTTTTCCAAAGCAAGACAAAATTGCAGGAGCAGTTCATTCCATTGCACGTGGCTGCTTACAACGGCTACTTTTTGGCGACGAAATTATTAGTCCAATCGGGATCGGATTATCAGTGGAAGTCTTCAAACAGTCAAACAGCTTTGTCGTACGCCGAGGAGAAGAATCACGAAGGAATCGTTCAATATCTCAAGTCTTTGATTTGATTCATTCAGATGAATAAACTTTGTTAAGAGAGAATATTGGCAGAGGTTGAAGTCAGAAGAATGACGTCATTCGAAAACGCTCTGTGGATGGCTCGCTCAATGATTGGTCATTGGGGGCGGAGCTTGAGCGGCGACTTGAACGGTCGTGCTCCGGACGTTCCGGGGCATTTCTAGGGGTCACTTAAGAGTGCTGACGCTGCTAAAGTGGTCCCTAGAAGTGCCCAGAAACGTCCGGAGCACGACCGCGTCCGAGTAGCTAAACTTCAGTGCTTCGAAGCTTGAAAGAAAGTGCGCTCTAGTGAACTTTCCATCAGAGATGAATAAATATTTTTCGGACCTTCTGGGTATTTCTAGTGACCACTTTAGTAGCGGCAGCACACTTAAGGGGTCCCTAGAACTTCTCAGAAACGTCCGGTTTTCCGTTACCAAGGAAAAAATATTCTAAAATGGATTTTTCGCATTGAATTGAACGGAAAGTTTTGAAAAATCAGAACAGATTTCACATTTTTTAAGAATATTGCTTTATGTTGCGAAACTGTGCAACCGTTTTCCACTACGAATATTATCTCTTTGCAAATTCTTATCTTTCTAATCTTCCTTTTTTTGCTCATTCACTTCTTTTATGGTCAGTTTTCTTAATTTTTTTTTAATTTTAAAGTTTATCGTTCTCAATTTTGAACATACATAGGCTAACAGAGTATTAATCATTTTCGTACCCCCCATATTATTTATTGAGCTTTTTCGATTATATTGAGTGATTAATTAGTTTTGAAATGCATTTTTCCCAGTTAAAACTCGCTTTAACTGTGATTGAAGCAGCCTTTTCCCTTTTTCTTCTGACAAGGAGGTTTGGGAGTTTTCTAAAACTTGACCAGAATACTTCTTGATGCTCCAGGTGAAACTCCTAAAAGTTTCAACCTGTAAAACTTCCTGTTTTTCGAGAAAACCGGGCTCAAAGCCTCAAAATAGCTCGTTTTTACGGATTTTCTCGACTTTGAGGTATTCTTTCTTGAGGACCAGGAAGTTTTGCAGATTGAGACTTTCAGAATCTTCTTCTGGTACATCAAGGGCTATCCTGGCCAAGTTTCAGGAAATTCCCAAAGGTAAAATGACCTTCTCTGTAGGGAAAAATAATGCCGCTGGCTTATCAAAGTCAAATATCGAATAGTTCCTTGACAAACAAACTAAAAAATCGATAAACTATTTTTGCGTTGAAATTTCGATGCTCCAATATTTTTCATGATTTTCCGAATCATTAAATTTTTTTCTTTCTCGAATTAATCCGCTCAATGTAATGGTTTCTCAACAAAAATTTTTTTTATTCGAAAAAATGATTGAAAATTGCAGATCAGCTAGTTTTTTTCGGTCCTTTGATGCCTCCTAATAAGTATACGGTGGGTTTTCCTCCTTATTAATTTTTTTTTCGAGTTTGCCCTTCGTATAATTGTTGGTTTTCCGTGTTTGAAAGTTCCTTTCTGATGAATATAAAGGAAAAAAGGATGGGGTAGTCCAAGAAGTGAAAAAAATTTCTGTTGAGTTGAAAAAAATCAAAAGAGGTCACAAAAAAACAGAATAAATAAAAAAACTAAGAATAAATCTTCAAATTTTTTTGAATTCCAGAACAATTCCCCGAGAACATAAACTAATTTTTCTGCCGTACCTCATCAAATTTTTTTCAAAAACGGATTTATCTGATAACTTTAAGTTGGTGGTTGATTTGGCATTCTCATTTTCGAAGAAAAAAATCCGGAACAACAAGGAGAGTTGAGGAAATTCTAAGAGGGGGTTGAGATCCTCTAGGGCTTCCTTGTTTTAGGAACCGCTAGAGGGGGCTATTTCAATGTGCGTATAGGGTCACCACTTTAGTAAACCCTATAGTGCTTTCTGAGCGGTTCACTAAAACCCTGAAGCATAAGGGCTTCCTTTATGCAATCTGTAGGGGTACCTTTTTCCTATAGGGACCACTCCAAATTTCTTAGGGGCACTTAATCCTTAAAGGGACCACTCCGAATTGCTTGGGGATACCTACTCCCTATAGGGACCACTCCAAATTAATAGGGGTACCTGCTCCCTATAGTGGCCATTGCAAATTGCTTAGGGGTACCTACTCCCTATAGGGACCACTCCAAAATTTGAAATTTACAGAGAGAGGAACTCCTTTGGAAGGCGGCTGGAAATGGCAGACTGGAAGAAGTCCGAGAGTTGATCCGAGAAGGAGTCGATATCGATTTCAAGGATCCGACGTTCAAAATGAACGCGTTGATGTTCGCAGCAGCTGAGGGATTTTTTCTAACACTCGAGGAGCTTTTGAAAAGCGGCGCTAGTGTTTCTGCTTCTGATAAGGTGAGGGGGAAGTTACACTAGGTCATTTAATTTCCCGGATTTTCTGAAAGGATACTCCTTGATGTACTCGAAAAAGATTCTGAGAGTCTCAACTTGCAAAAATCCCTAGTTTCCGAGATATAAGGGCCCAAAAATTCTATTTCAAGAAATCTTGTGGGTTTTCTTTGACGTCAAGGTGTCCTTTTTCGAAAACAACCCCTATAGGGGCCGAAAAAATGGTCCCCATAGGGGTTTAGGGTCTGACCCCTTAGCTCAAGTGGACCCTAGAGGGGTCTTTCTATTCCATTTAAAAACGCTTTTTTATTCGGTTTTCCCATGAGAATGCTTCTTCGCTTTGAGTTCATAAAAATGATCGACTAGCATGTCCTCTATAGAGACCACTTTTTCAAGCTTCAGTGGCCCCTACAGGGGTTGGTGAAGTATTCCTTAGAGTGGGACCCTTAAAGGGCCCCTGAAGGGACCACTCTAGAGTCCCTAAATACTTTTCATTAATGGCATCGGATTTTGAATGTCAAGTAGAATGACGTCATTCGAAAACGCTCTGTGGATGGCTCGCTCCCTGATTGGTTTATCACGCCATTAGGGGGCGGAGCTTGAGCGAGGACTCGACATTTAAAATCTGAGCAGACTATAGAATGTCCCCTATAGGGGTCACTAACTAAAACTCCCATAGGGACCACTTTTGCAAGCTTAAGTGGCCCCTACAGGGGTTGGTAAGGTATTCCCTAGAGGCGGCCCTTCGGGGGCTCCTAAGATTGCCCCTATAGGGTCCGCTCTGGAGTCCCTAAATACTGTTCGAAGTTTCATCATTACACCTTCCTTTGGAAGTCTCCTTATTTCTGACCCACTATTTTTTTTAAGTAAACAAAAAAGAAAGATTTACAGAATGGCTACTCGTCTCTCCACTTCGCGGCAATATCAAACTACGAAGATACCGAGAAAATCATCGGGAAATTGGTTGAATTTGGAGCCGACGTAGAATCTCTAACCAACAAGAAAATCACTCCGCTATACTTGGCGGTCCTTAAAAATCAAATAAGATCCATTCAAACTCTGATAAAACTCGGCGCCGATGTCAACTTCTGCCTTACCGCGAGAGGGGTTTTTTTCTTATATATTTTTTTAAAGGCATAGATGCTGTAAGAAACGGTGTTTCAGCTCAAAGCAGTATTTTGTAGAGCTTTTCATTGCGAATCGAACGGTGAACTTGAAAACGTACCGAACTTCCTAGTTTTGGAGAAAAAGCAATTAAAAGTCGGGGAGACGAATACTTGAGTTCCCGGCAAAAAGGGCGCTTTGCAGTAAGGTTGCTCTATAGACAACACGCTTCGCCATTTTTCGCATTTTCGCTTTTTTCTTCGTTTCTTTCAAATTTCAATTTTTTCTGTTAACACCAAAGATCTTTTCGTCCTAAAAGCTTTCTATCCATGTGTAATTTGCAAACTTTGATCGCAAAAATGCTTTTCTGGTGAAAAATGATGATTTTACACAGGTTTCGATTGGGACAGCGATATTTTGTGTTCTCTTTATTTCCGGTGTGTGTTTTTTGTTTGACTAAATTTTTTTTCAGAAAAGAAACCATTCATTTGAAGCAGATATGCGGTTTCAAAATCAAAGGCGGGAAAGTAAAATCGCGTTTTTCTTCTAAAGTTGTCAGACCTGTAATTTTTTTGAGTACACCATTCGATTCGCAAGGGAAAATTATACAAGATACTGCTTTCACTTGAAACCCCATTTTTTACTGCCACTATGCCTTTAATATTTCAATTTTCAGGATCGATTTACTCCATTACACATGGCGGCTCAAAAAGGACACTTATCAGCGATAAAATTGTTGGTGGAAAATGGGGCCGACGTTCATTTGAAGGATAGAAACGGCTGTACAGCTCTTTCCCTGGCTGAGAAGGAAAATCACGAAGAAATCGTGGAATATCTTGGATCAGTGATGTAATTGATTATCAATGGAATATGGATTTTAAAACTCTTTCAGAAAATAAATTCCTTTTTCGATTCATGTTTCAAAAATTAATAGAAGTCATTCATCAAGAATGCGAACTTTTAAAATTTTTTAGTGGCCACTATAGTAGTTAAACTAGTGACCACTTAAGGGGTTAAAAATAAGAGGCCACTATAGAGGTCTAAGTGCTACTACTAGACTACTTAGTGGCCACTTTAGGGGTCAATGTATCAACATAACTGGTCCAATCTGTTTTTTTTAATTATCAGAGTTACTGGAAGGAATACTGGGTGAAAAACTACTGAAGTGGCCGCTAAAATGGAAAATAGTGGCCACTATAGAGGTGGATTTAGTGTCCTCTCCAAGTACTCCTTGGCGAACCTCTATAGTGGCCACTAATAATTTTCCAATTAAAAAAATACCTTAAAATTTCCGCTTTTCTTCAACCATTCTAAATGCGACCAGGGTCCATTGTATATGATCTTTAAGAGAAAAATCGAAATTTAAAAAAAGGGCTTCATGAACAAGTAAAAAGCAGAAAAATCACTTGAAAACTGTATCTTTTGAAGAAAATATAAATAACAAGTTTATTAAAGGCAGTAGATCCAACAAGATTTACAAGGAATTCGTCACGTCTTGGAGCAATCTGACTTCTCCGCCCTCTCCAGAGGTTACGTGATATTTCGCTGACCTCAGAGAAAAGAGAGCGCAGAGAGGTCAGACTGTTTGAAGACATGAGGGCAGTGAAAATTTCCAAATATTTGTTTGAAAACACGTGCAAAAAAGGGGATAACAAGAACAAAAAAAAAAGAATTGCTTGTGAAATTTCAAGTAAAAATTTGGGATCAAAACGAAAAATTGAATTATAAAAAGTCAAAAACCAAGAAAAAATGCCTTTTGGACGTAGGAATCCCGCGAAAAAGTGTATTCCGAAACATTTTCAAACTTTATTTTTTCCATTTTTTGGGTCCATCATGTTTCTGGAGTAGACTATATGAAGGAAAGTCGGAAAAAACATACAAATTCACGAAAAAAAAACTCTTCTCTCAACAAAATTGGGGTCGAAAATCCGAAAAAGAGGCTGAATTTTGCCTTTTTCGGAAACTACTCCACAAAAAAATGAAATAGGAACCGAAAACCCCAAAAATGATTTTTTTTTTTATTTTTCAAAGTTTCGGAACGCTCCGTAACACAAAGATCCTACGTCCAAAATCAAAAAAATGGAATTCAATAAAAAAAAAAATAACAATGAGATCAGGCGAAAGTCGAAGTGAGGGCCGGGAAAAACGGGAGTTTCTCGTAGGAATGGATGACGCCGAGTGACGTCGAGGCGACGATGACGTCACCTTGGCAAGCGAATGACGTCACAGAGGACTGCGCGGCGTTGCGCAGCGGCTCGATACGTAGCGAGTGGGCGAGCTCGGAGCCCGTCAGCCAGACGTTGCTCCGCGACTGCCCGTTGACCGCCCTGAAATGGCCCGTTTAGGTGGATAGTCCAATCAGAAGGCTATGAAGAGGCGAAAAACGAACGCCGAAGTGACTGCAGTGGCGTCAAGTCGGAGCAAAGATCCGTCGGCCGACGAGCAGAGCAAATTATCGGGACTCGACGGATGGAAAGAGACCTTAAAAAAATCAACTAAAAATTAGAGAAAATCGAAAAATCTGCAATTGGATTGGCTCCAAAGTGCGCCCGACTCAAAAAGGCTTTTTCAGTTTTATTGTTAAACTTTTGTATTAAAAGCCCTTCTCAGTGTTTAAAACCGATAAATTCAACTAAAATAAGAGAAAAATGAAAAAAAAAGCCATAATCGAGAAAGGCTCCAAAGCGCGCCCGACTCAAAACGACTTGTCCTATTTTAAACGTTAAAAAAATGATCATTTAAAAACTTTTCAAGCCTTTTTTTCAGTGTTTTCGACAGGAAAAATCAACTAAAAATCGAAGAAAAATAAAAAATAGTTTCATCGAAAAGCTCCATAGTGCGCCCGACTCAAAACGACTTGTCGCTTTTTTTAAAATTTGAGAGGGTCTTTTTGAATTTTTGATAGCCCTTTTCAGTGTATTCAGCCAAAAGAAATAACCAAAACCTGCTATTTTCGAAAAATGTAATAGTGGTCGCATTTGAAATGGCTCCAAAGCGCGCCCGACTCAAAAACGACTTGTCGCTTTTTTTTAAAAATTTGAGAGGGTCTTTTTGAATTTTTTTGATAGCCCTTTTCAGTGTATTCAGCCAAAAGAAATAACCAAAACCTGCTATTTTCGAAAAATGTAATAGTGGTCGCATTTGAAATGGCTCCAAAGCGCGCCCGACTTAAAACGACTTGTTCTTTTTTTCAAACTTAAAAAAAATCCTTTTGAAACTTTGAAAGCTTTTTTCCTTGTTTATGACAGATAGAATCAACTAAAAACAGCGAAAATTGAAAAAAATATAAATGCAAAGCGCGCCCGACTCAAAACGACTTGAGATTATCAGAGCGCCTCAACGCGAGCCATTCCAAATGCGACCAACGTGTCTGAGGTCAAAGAAAATCTACTTTTTTCTATAAAACTTCATTGACTGATCATGGTGTAATTTTAGCTATCTTACATGTCATTCAAACAATTTCGAGGCTTTCAGTGATCACTTAAGCAGAATTAGCGTCTCTTAAGTGTTCCCGTGGAGTTTCCTCATTCCAAATCTTCTTATAGTCCTCATGCCTCTACTATAAGGTTGAATAGAAGCTTGGAAAACTTCGCGTGAGAGTTCCGCATTTTGCTATGCTTAAGCATGGTGGCTATACTTATCTACAGGAAAATCCGCAAAGGCTCAAATATTCAAATTTTGTCCCGAAAAGTTCAGAAAGACTATAACACTGTATTCCATTGACAAAATCTTTTTTATTCTAAAAAATTCCTAATTTCGCCACTTCCAGGAGTCGAACCAGCGACCCTTCGAGCCTAGCCAAAGCTCTAAAGCCACTAAACCACTCGAAAATAAATCTACCTGGGTAATCGTCTTTGGCGAAAGAACATAGGTGCCGGAAATCACGGCATCGGCTCCATTTCGGATGTCGATGAAGCCGATGAGACCTTCGTTGGTTCCGCAGCAGAGCTGAAAAAAAACACTTGAGGGGTCACTTGGAGAGATTTCGAACCAAGTTCGACTGAGCCGGGTGTGAACAAAGGGCCGTTACGCCGTCGAGCGGCTTTTTCGAAGGGACCAGAATATTGTAAGCCGTGCATTGACCTCAAGATGAAGAGATTAAATTAATAATCCAGATGAAAAAGATTTTAAAAGTTTTTTTTGCCGATTTGACAGTTTTAAAATGCGCTCGAAAACAATTTTAAAATTAAAATTCAACAAAAATTGAGCCGGTTTTTTTCTCTTCGTTCTCTTTTTTTCTGTAATCTTGTCGGTCAGTTCTGTTTTTCATATCTTTAAATTTTGAGTTAAATTTTTTTTTGGGAGCTGCAAGTTGCTTGAATTTTTGTTTTCGGGGGCTGCAAGTTCCTTCAAATCTCATTTTTGGGGGGTGAAAATTGCTCAAACTTTTGACTTTGGGAGCTGCAAGTTGCTTCAATTTTTAATTTTTTTGGGAGCTGCGAATTGCTTCAATTTTTTTGGGAGCTGCAAGTTACATATATATTTTTTTTGGGAGTCGCAAATCGCTAAAATTTTTAATTTTGGGGGCTGCAAGTTGCTACTATTCGATTTTTGGAAGCTGCAAGTTTCTTGAGATCTTATTTTTGGGAGCTGCAATTTCGCCAGATTATTGGGTTTTTTTTTAAATTTTTTTTTTCAAATGTTTGCCAACTACAATGATCGCAATATTGTCGTAGTCCGATAGCCTTGAAAAAAATTTGAAACAAATCGCGACTCAAAAAAATCAGGCCTTTTTTTCAAATATATTCTATAATTCATTTTTTTCACAAATTCCAAAAACCGACGTCAATGAAAATTTTTTTGATGCAAAAATTCTCATAATAAACCGTCTAAATATCTTATTTTTCGTGATTTTTCCTTTTTTGAACCGGTTGACAATAATCAATCGATATGACCCGACTAATCACCTTCATCATTGGCCTGTCGAAGGTCCCAAATGCCCAACTGTCCCGTGGAACTTCCCGTGAAGACCAAATGACCGCCGGGAGCTGTGCAGACCGATCTCAGGCCAGATTGTCCCTGAACATTTTTTTATTATTGGAGAATCCAAAAAAAAAATCCAAATTTTTTCTTTCCAGTAAAGTCAAACCTACTCTGAAAAAATGTTTTCGAAAAAAATAAAATTTTTTTTTTAAATCATATTCTTCATTTTCTGACCGTAAACTCCGAAGTCTACTCCTAAAATCAAAAATCATCACAAAAAAATATCAAAAATTTATGATTTTCTGTGGAAAAAAATGAAGATTTGGAAAAAAATGAAAAAAATTCAATTTTAATAACGAAAAAAATGATGAAAAAAATTGAATTTTTTTCATGGTTTTTCTTTAAAAAAATAAGACTCTTTTTCAGACAAAATTATAATAAATTACTATAAAAACATGCCTTAAAAAAATTTTTTTAGAGGAAATTTCGACCTTGAACTTTGAAAAAAATTTTAAAAAAATTCGAAAAAAACATGGGAAATTCACAGTTTTCCTTCACAAAAATATGACTTATTTTCATTAAAAAATATAAAATTACCGTAACAACAGTCGTCGATTGGCCCGTTTCCAAATCCACGCGTTCCAAGTTTCCATTGGAAGAAGCACTGGAAAAAAATTCCTTAAAAATCCAAAAAAATTTTTCAAAAAAACCTCAAAAATCGAGGATCCATACGTACAAACGGCCCTGGATTCACAGCCATCGTGAATGGATTCGATTTTTTTGACCTTAAATTTTGAAAAAAATTGAATCTTTGATGAAAAAAATTAATAAAAAAACCAATGAAATATCGTCGTTTTTCGTGTTCAAAACGGCCAAAGATCCGTCGAGAAAGCTGACGCAGGAAATATTTGGAGCACAGGAACTGGAAAAATCAAGATTCGTAGTGAAAATAGGTGTAAAAAGGGTTGAAAAATTTTGAAAAAAATCAAAAAACATTTTTTTGAGCTTAAATGATGAAAAAAATTTCGGAAAAAAAGAGCTCTGGGAAAAATGAAAAAAAGTCAAAAAAATGACGTCATAGTACTTCTTAGTGTCAAAAATACAACTACAAAACGTTCCATTTTACAAAAAAGTCAAAAAATCCCGAAAAAAATTTCTTTCATTGTATCAAAAAATACAAAAATCCATTTCAATACAACAATTTCGAAACAAACCAGGCGTCCATCGGGTCAACGTCGACATTTTTCACACTGACGACTCGGAATGGATCAAAAGACGTGCGGGCCTCGAAATCGCGGCGCCAGAGGCCGATGCAGCGCCCTTGCGTCTGGCCCAACCACAGGACCGTCGATGGATCGTTGTTCGGGAAGAGGACCTAGAGAAAGAGAAAATATTCCCAAAATATTCAAGGTATAGTCGATGTGCCACAAGTTGAAATTTCATGGAACGACACTCCGCTGTTTCCATTTGTGCGGTAGCGCGCATCTTGCGAATTCGCCAACTTCGGCCACGCTAACTTTTTTTTGGTTTTCATTCTAATTTCGATCGCTTTTTTTTATTGTTTTATTTCATTAAAATGTAATATTATCGTTGAAAAGGATTGCGTTGTAAAAATGTAAAAGAAAGAACACAGTAAATTTCATGATGTTTCTCGAAAAAAGCGATTAAAAAAAATTTTGAAAAACTTCATGTATTCGGCAATCTCTTTAATATTGTTTTTCTCGTTTCTCAAAAAAGTTTTCAAAGTTTTACCAAAAAGATTTGCGGGTGAAACAGGCCGTAAACGCCACAATATTCTACAAAAGTTTCTGTGTTTTTTTTATGGCCATGTTTTAATGTTTTCATCGTTTTTTTTTCTGTTTGCAGTCGTTAATTGTTTTTTTCAGAAAGTGAGCGCCTTATAAAATGAAGACGTGTACTTCCATGAGCACATGCAACATAATTTGAAGAAATGTTTTCGTTCTTTTTTTTAAATGGAGCTTTAGATAAATCGTATTGCTGAACTATGCGTCAGAAATGGGGCGTGAACAGTGAGCACATGGAACAGTGGAAACGATGTGCTGAACGAAATGTCCAGAAAACTAATAATTTTTTTTTGAACTTATGTATCTGTTTTTTTTAAATAAAAATTCGTCAATGTAGAAACATTCATTTTTTTTAAAATCTCACTGTGTATTTTATTTCTGATTGGGATATTTTTTTACATTATTGAAATGAAAAAAAGAAATTTCGATAAAGGCTCAATGAAGGTAAAAATAACGGAATATATTGAACAAAAACCAAAGACCGTCTCATGAAAAAAACTTTCAAATATTATAAACGCATTTTCGCTTAAAAATTCGAAAAAATTACTCTACTTTATTTTTAATCAATGAAAAACAGTCTATCCACTAGAAAAAGATAATTATGAGTTTGGCACGAAGAAAAACTATTGCAACATAATTAAAAATAATGAAAAATTTCGAATAAAAAAATGGATTGCGCGACCGAAATTCGCAAAGGCAAGGCGCTTTCACGGCCACCCAACGGAGTGTCGTTCCATGAAATTTCAAGCCGTGGCACATCGACTATAGTTGTTCTTAGAAGGACTGTAAAAATGTTAAAAAATCTCAAATTTCGACCCAACCAGAGGACCGATGAGAGATCGTTGTTCGGGAAGAGGACCTAGAGAAAGAGAGAATATTCCCAAAATATTCAAGGGAAAAGGTAGATGCTCTTAAATGGACTGTAAAAAAATGTTAAAAAATCAAAAATTTTGACCCAACCAGAGGACCGTCGAGGGATCGTTGTTTGGGGAGAGGGCCTAGAGAAAAAGAGAATATTCAGGGTTTTTTTTTTTAAATGAAAAAAAGCTTTCAAACGGTCTTTTAACTTTTATGAAAGTTTGATTTATTTTATAAAACTGTAAAAAAATGCTTTAAAAATCCCAAATTATGGCCCAACCAGAGGACCGGCGAGGGATCGTTGTTCGGGAAGAGAGTCTAGAGAAAAAAATGTTCCATGAATTTTCATGAATAAATTTAGATGCTCTCAAATGGACTGCAAAAAAATTTTTAAAAAAATCAAAATTTTTTTACCTAACCAGAGGATCGGCGAGGGATCGTTGTTCGGGAAGAGAGTCTAGAGAAAAAAAATGTTCCATGAATTTTCATGAATAAATTTAGATGCTCTCAAATGGAATGCAAAAAATTTTAAAAAACGCAAGTTTTGGCCTAATTAAGGACCCACAAGGGATCGTTGTTTAGGAAGAGAACCTAGAGAAAAAGAGAATATTTTCAAAACAATCAAGAAATATTGAATTGAATAAATGTAGATGCTCTAAGATGGACTGTAAAATGTTCAAAATCCCAAGTTTTGACGCAATCAAGGGACCCACGAGGGATCGTTATTTGTGAAGAGGACCTAGAGAAAAAGAGAAAATTCCATGAAATTCTCATAATAAATGTAGATGATCTTAAATGTACTGTAAAAAAATGTTAGAAATCTCAAATTTTGACCTAATCAAAGGACCCACGAGGGATCGTTGTTTTGGAAGAGAGCCTAGAGAAAGAGAGAATATTTTCAAAATACTTAAGAAGAAAGGTTGATGCTCTTAGATGGACTGTAAAATGTTCAAAATCCCAACTTTTGACCCAATCAAGGGACCCACGAGGGATCGTTGTTCGGGAAGAGAACCTAGAGAAAAAGAGTATATTCAAGGCTTTTTTTAATGGAGAAAATTATCTCTAATAGTCATTTTAACATTTACGAAATTTCGATTTTTCATTCAAGCACTGTAGAAAAAAACACGTCGTGACTGGTCAAATTCCGGAAAAAAATTTTTTTTTGTCTAATTATAGTTTTTTTTGTGAACCAACTACTACTACATATCTTATAATTATGATGAAAATCAGTATTAAAAACAGTTTTGGTTGAAAAATTTTGCGAGTTAAAGTCAAAAAAAACACGAGAAAAATCCACTTTTTTCGGTGCTTTTTTGCACCTTTCTTAGTGAAAATATTAAAAAAATCTCGAAAAGAAGCTCAAAAATGAAAAAATGACTATTTCCACCTTGGAAACTTGGACATCGGCGTGTTGAGAGACTTCCTTCGGACCTTCCCGTCCGCCTTCGTCCATCGAATAATCGTCGGTTTCACGCATCGCCGAAAAAGCCGGTGAGACTTTCATTTTGTACTTTGAGCTTCTGAAGTTATTTCCTTTGATTATCGGAACAATAAAGAATAAAAAAAGACGGAAAAAAAGTAGTGCAAAAAAAGCGAAAAAAATCTATGAATTTATTAAAAAAAGAACACAGGAAGTTTTAAAAAATATTCAATTCTTAACGAATCACTAAAAAAACTATCCAATAACCGGAAAAAAAGATTTATAAACAAAAAAACCTCATATTCTTTTCTCAAAACAAAAATTCCGCTTTAGAAGTCGACTTTTTCGAAAAATAAACGAAATTCACGGCTTTTTATAATTATTCGAAAGTGAATGAATGAAATACGTTTTTTTGTAAAAAAATTTAAAAAAATCATTTCGAAATTGCGACAGGCATTGCGTAGAAATTGGGACTTTAACATAGAGCAATAAATATAAAAATCCAACAGAAAAATATTGAATATATAAAAGGATAGAAATATTTTTATTTAATAACTTTTTCCCGAAAAAGTTAGGATTTTCACCAGTTTTTTTGACTGTAATAAAAAAATGCAGATTTTAAAAATTGAAAAAAAGTAATGAAAAAAATCCTAAATCTACAGTGAAAATCCAGGAAATTGTGAAGATATACCTTTTTTTCGAGAGAAAGCATTACAACTTTTTTTTATTATATTATTAAACGATATATAAAAATGTGGGATCCTTAGAGAAGAAAAATATGAACCTCCGGTCAACGGAAAAAAACAGGAATATGAATGCCAAGACGCCAAAATATAATTAGGGACGCCGACTTAATTAGGTGTTACTGACGCCAAAACCAAAAAAAAAACTTGAAAATAACAAAGTTCGCGCCATTGACACCGTTCTCATACACTTTCACCCAAACCCTCATACTCTATATTTCAAAAAAATTTATTTCTCAATTATAAACAAAAGAACAGAAATAGAATAAAAATATAGCCAACCCATAAGTAGACAATGAGATCATGCACATTGGAAGGAAGAAAAAGAGGCCTCAATTTTTGAGGAAAAATTCCGAATCAACAAATCCCTGACATGTTCTCATCTGAGATTATCACGAGCGGAAAAATTGCGAAACAAGAAAAGCAACAGAAAAATCCATTGAAAGACACAAGAAAAGACATTTTTCACAAGCAAGACTCAAAAAAGCACCCCATTAAATAAGAAAAAAAAAGAGACGCCATTATAGATAGCACTCCCAAAAGTCTCCTCTTGGCGCATTCCGCGTGCGTGCGCGCCAATTCAAATTTCATCTCTTGGACTAGATTTACAGGCTTCCAGTATATGGTTCTTTTTGTATAATTTTTTTCTTACTTATTCATTTCCAGTTTTTTTATTTTATTTAATATTGACTCATTTAGGGAATCTAACTTTATTTAAGAAAGTTTTTTTTCTTGTTTTAGCGCCAATTCAAATTTTTCGCCTTCACTCACTTGCACAGGCAAATGGGGAAGGTACCATAATGTGCCCACAAATATACCTCTTAAAAAAAGAATCTTGAATATTCCATAATATGTCCATCGTGAGACGTCGAGCATAAATTTTAGCTCTAGCTGACCAGGGAATGGTGTCTAGTCGCAGTTGGATTTCAGAATGAGACCCAGTCCACTAAATGAAGTTTTTTTCATGCTGTTTCCAAATCTGTTCTCAAAAAAATGCCGCGGAGGTCCGTGAAAAAAAGTTTTTTTGGAAAAAGTTTTTTTGAGCGGAGATACGATTTTTTTCAAAGCTCCTCGCATGATAAGGAAATTTGCTGCTGAAAAATTCATTCTTCGTTTCTCATGAGCGAATAGAGAACAACGTGTACAGCTTATACAAATTTCAAAGGAAGTCTGAAAACGGAATGAATAAAAAAATTAGAAAAACCGAAATGACTAAAAAAATAATAATAATAAAAAAACCTGGGAAGCATTTCCAGGCTACTCGGTAGCAATCAAAAAAATTTCAGGTACTCTGCCCGTATATCCAGTTATCATAGATATGATACCCGTGTAAAATTAATTGGAAGTTTTTTTATGCAAGAAAAAAATTATTCAAAAAAACCATATACTGGAAGCCTGTAAATCTAGTTCAAGAGACGAAATTTGAATTGGCGCGCACGCACGCGGAATGCGCCAAGAGGAGACTTTTGGGAGTGCTATCTATAATGGCGTCTAAAAAAAGCACATTTTAAATGAGAAATTATTAATAAAACAATGAAAGTTGAGGAAATTGTTCAACCTAAAAAAATCCCAGCCATGAGAATAATTTTTCAAATTCGAACAAAGTGAGGGGAAACCTAGCAAAGGTGAGAAAATAACAAATCTCTGTACTTAGATAACAAAAAACAGTCAAATTGATGGCATAGAGGATTTAGGTTATATTTTATTATATAAAATTGGAACAAAAAATAAACAAAGTGAAGATTTTCAGAAAAAATATTTGCAAAGGGTGTTGTGCGGCATTAGGGTAAATTTTTCGGTCTGTGATTATATCTCATGACTGCTCATTATTGCTCATACTAGAGTATTTCTTTTTTAAAATTTGAGATTAATTCGTTCGAATTTTGAAGCTACATCTCACGATTGCTCATACTATAGTCTTTTTTCAAAGTTAGAGAGCACGGAGAAGTGAGAGACATCATAGAAAAAAGGGAAAAAAATCCGTTTATGTCTCTGCATGTTTCCCCTCTAGTGGGAATATCAAGAACTTTTTTTTTCGAAAGAATATTCAGAAACTAGAGAAAACATAGAAATGAGAGAGTTTAGAGATGAAAGGAAACAAAAAATACTTTTTCATTCAAATTCTGAGCTAAATTCCAGACATTTTTTTCAAAAATATCTTCTCTTTGCAAATATTTTTCTAATCTTCTCCATTTACCAGTCATTAAATGAGGACATTTTATTGGATTACAATGAATTTGCAGCAAAATACTCTCAGCAGACATCAACATCAGCGTCGGGATCGACTTCAGAAAGACTTCGGTGGAGAAGCGGAGGGGGCGTGGTCTGTTCCTCCTTGACGAGCTCCGACTCCAGTGGTCGTCCGACGGGGGCTCGAGCATCAGATGACGTCACGGCGATGCCGATCGGGAAGGCGTACGCCGTGGCGAGGGTGGCGGGCGGCGACTCCGGCTCCATCGTCTGGTTGAAGATCGGATCCGGCCGGATCAGGTCGAAGATTCGCAGGATCTGCATGTTCTCCGATGTTCGGATCGCGTGGATCTGAAGGAAAAATCGGTCATTTAGGATCCTTTTCACACGGAAAAAGAGCATGTGCGGATTTTGAAAAGCTCTTTGGGAATTTCCTGGGAAAACCTCTAGTGGCCACTTGAGGGGTTCTTCAAGGACTACTTGGAGAGGACTCTAAAGTGGCCACTAAAACCATCAAATCCACTATTTTGCGTCAAAGTGGCCACTATAGTAGTTTTTAGTGTCTAGTAGTACCACTTGGACACTAATTTTTAGCCCCTTAAGTGGCCACTCAATCGACAAAACCCTAAAGTGGCCACTAGAAATTTTCCCAGAATTGGGGCAATTTTCTTAATTTGAAAACCTCTTAAAATTTTAAGAAAATCAGATATCAAATTTTCGACAAACCAGAAAAACCTTTTTTAGAATCTAGCAAGAAGCAAGAGAAGCCTCAAGCTGTAGAGACGCCAGAGAAAGAGAGATTTCCTACTTCTCTCGCGTCTCTTCAGGCCGCCGCTGCTCTCTAAGCCTCTTTCATCCCTTTCTCAAAAACTTTGAGGATTCTTCAGCTTCTGGCCAATTTTCAGGAACCTTGAGGATTCTTCGAGTTCTGGCCAATTTTCAGGAACCTTGAAGATTCTTCAACTTCTGGCCAAGTCCCAGAAAATCCTCCATCGTTGGAGATGTTCCCCATATGATTACCTTGACGTTGGCAACGACCATGAGAAGCTCGGCGACGCGGATTTCCGGCGATTCGCTGTTGGTCTCCTCCTCCTCGTCGTAGAAGTTGTGGATGTCGGCGAGGAGCATGTCGCGGAGGCCTTGCAGGTGGAGTCGGGTCTCTTCTTGGAGGGTGGCGATGGCTAGAAAAATCAAGGATTTTCTGAGATTCCAGTGGTTTTCTACCTCCTAGAGGACGTCCAAGCGTTCTCAGAACAACAAAAAATCCTATTAATCTAGCTTAGAAACGTCAGAGTAGCCACTAGAGGGAGGTAAGGGCCCTTGAAGGCTTACTTCCTTGTATAGAAGGCTCTAAAGCTTGCAAAAGTGGCCACTTTAGGGTAGCTTGATAGCTCCCAATCACATAACAGATCTTCTTTTACTAATCACATTGTTCAACTTTTAAAACTGGACCACTTTAGGGACCACTCAAGTTTTCGGGGCTCACGGTCGGATCCTGAACTCCTATGCTCTCTAGGGAGCCCTATTTTGTTCAATATAGGAGTTTTTTTTTTTGCCTAGCCCCTCTAGTGACTACTCTGGCGTTCCTAAAGCGTCTTCTTACCAAGCCAATCTCTCCTCAGCCCTAAAGGGACTACTATTTTGCCCACTCTAAGGGGAACTTTTTACCCTAAGCCCTCTAGTGATCACTCTGGAAGTATTTTAACTCTTTCCTAACTGTTCTCTCCTAACAAAAAAAGCTCAAGAATCTCCAAAACTCACAAGGATCAAAGAGAACGATCCCGAGAAGGGCGACCATTTCGACTTCGGTCAAATTGATGTCCCGCATCGATTTGCTCACCGTCTCCATGGCATTCTTGAACGAGGGCATGAATAATCTGAAACTTTACGTCTTTTTCATCTTCGGAAGGTTATTTACCGCTTAGTCGTGTCCAAATCCAGCTTCAAATCTTTCAGGGAACCGTCCTGGAAGTACTTTTCGTGGTCGCTGAGGTCGATGAAGGTTCTGAAAAATTCAAAATAAACTTTTTAGGACTGAAATTTCGACCTGTTAGGCATGACGAATCGCTCCTTCTCCAGACCACCGTGTTTCCAAGTCAAGAAGGGTTCTTCGATGGCTTGGCGGAGGACGACAAAGTTCTTGTAGATCTTGATCTGAAAAAAATAGCTTAGAATTCGTTAAAGAAAGTCTATTAGCTTCTGAAATGACTAGAGGGACACTAAAGTGGCCACTATTTTCCATTTTAGTGGCCACTTCAGTAGTTTTAGATCCAATGTTCCTTCCAGTAACTCTGATAATGTTAAAACAAACAGATTGGTCCAGTTATGTTGATCCATTGACCCCTAAAATGACCACTAAGTGGTCTAGTAGTAGCACTTAGACCTCTATAGTGGCCACTAATTTTTAACCCCTTAAGTGGTCACTAATTTGACGACTATAGTGGCCATTAAAACGTCAAAACCCTAAAGTGACCACTAAAATTGTTTGTGGCCTAGTAGTAGCACTTAGACCTCAATAGTGGCCACTAATTTGACCACTATAGTGTCCACTAAAGCGTCAAAACCCTATAGAGCCCACTAAACATTTTCCCAGTCAAGAATGAAATTTCTCCGAATGATTTTCTAGTTTCTAAGCACCCCAAAAACTCTTCCAGGAGCTCTAGTCAAGCCTGACCGTCCTATGAACAGATTTCTCGCTTCTAAAAACCTTAAAAAGTCTTCCAAAAGTCATACTCAAGAAATACAAGCCTATGAACAACGGTGAAGCTTCTAAGAACCTCAAAAACTCTTCCAGAAGCTCTACTCAAGCCTAAGGGTTCTGGAGATTTTCAAAAACAAACTGAATCTTCAGAAGTCCTAGCCAAGAATAAGAGCTTCAGGAGTATTTTCTAGGTTCTGAGCACCTTGGAAACTCTTCCTGAAGTTTTAAGGAAGCCTAACGGTTCTGTAACTTTTTGGCTTCCAAGTTGCGTAGAAGCTTTACTCAATCCTAACTGCCTTAAGGACGATTTTTAACGCCTAAGTGCTCTAGAAACACTTGCAGAACCCCTAGTCAAGCCTGATAGTCCCATGAATAATTTTAGCGCTTCTAAAAACTTCAAAAAGTCTTCCAAAAGTCGTAGTCAAGAAATACAAGCCTATGAACAACGGTGAAGCTTCTAAGAACCTCAAAAACCCTTCCAGAAGCTCTACTCAAACCTAAGGGTTCTAGAGATTTTCAAAAACAAACTGAATCTTCAGAAGTCCTAGCCAAGAATAAGAGCTTCAGGAGTATTTTCTAGGTTCTGAGCACCTTGGAAACTCTTCCTGAAGTCAGCCCTAACTGTCCTATGGGTGATTTTTCAGCTTCTAAATGCCTTAGGAACTCTCCCAAAAGCTCTCGTCAATCTTAAAACTCTCATTAATCGTGTTCTGGCTTCTAAATACATTAGAAACCGTTTCTGTAACTGCAGTCAAGCCTCAAAATCATCTGAGTGGTTTTTCAAAATTTCTTAGAAACTTTTTCAGAAGCCCTGGTCAAGCCTAACGGTCACCTGAATAATTTTCTAGCTTCAAAACCCCTAGGAGCTGTTGCAGAATCCCTAGTCAAGCTTAAAAGTTCCATAAATAATTTGCTAGCTTCTCAACACTTCAGAACGTCTTCTGAAGACTTCAGTCCTTTCTAAACGCCCAGAATCCGTTTCCAAGACTCACCTTCTCAACAGCCGGAACGTTGGCCAAGAAGCGATTCCGATTGATGAAATCGGCGGCCAATCTCGGCTCGATCTTCCACAGATGGTACATGCAGTCGTTGAAATCCGTCAGCTCGTAGATCTCCTCTTCGCCGGCCGAGGGCGGGGGTCCGACCGTGAAGAGTTCTTCCAGGGACCTTCTGGCGTAGAAGAGCTGCCGTTGCTCCAAAAGGTAGCGTTGTCGCGTCAGGAGCTCCTGGAGCATCGTCGGCGACTGGCTGAGCGCTGGGGCGACTGAGGACGACGCGACGTTCATCGCCGGCGACTGATAGACGAGCGGATCTTCGGCGACTTGGCTCGTCGACGCGAGTTGCTCTGGCGGCGGGGCCGGCGTCGGGACGGCTTGCTTCGCTGGTGGTTCGGATTCCACGTCTGTAAAGTAGGAACTTCCTTCTTTTTTTTTTGTATTACGAGTCTCCAGACGAGCTCAATATTCTTGGAAAAGCTTGGAAAAACTCAAAATTTCCCTTTTCTCACCAAATCAGCATTAAAAGTAGCTGAAAAAACTTTATATTGTCTAAATCAATGCTTTTTTTTCACTCAAGGGACTACTTCAAAAAGAGAATTTTTTTATCAGGCTAGATGGAGAGCTTAAAATGTTGAAATTTGAGGGATCTTTTTGGAAAATGCCGCAAAAATAGTTTCAAAATGATCAAACTCGGCAAAAAAAAACCTTGGAAAATTTTTTTTAAAGATATTTCATTTAAAAAATGGTCAAAAAAGAATTCCCTAATAGTCCTGATTGGCTGTAAAATTGAGAAACTTTCAAACTTCGATTAAAAAAAAATTTTTATAGGCCTAGAAAATGAAATTTCGATCTGCAAAAAAACCAAAAAAGTATCTGAGGTCATTAGGAAGCTTGGAATCTGATTTTGAACATTCTAAAATCTCAAAAACTCTCAAAACTACCCTAAAAAGGCGACAAACCTCGGGATCGGAAAGATTTCATCAAGATGACACGAAAATTAATCAGAACAATGTGAGAAAGAGGCGTTTTATAGTGTGAATAATTCGCGAAAGCCCAAAATCTTTTTTCATTCTTAGTAGTCATTTTGAAAGGAAGACAACGTGCCGGAATTTCAACGTAAACATCCGGATTTGGAAAACCTCCGCAACGTTTTTTTTTTCTTCTTTCAAAAATTGCAAAAATCGAAAATATTTATACAAGGGTAATATTTTAAATTGAGGAAAAAATCGGACGAGAGAGGTTCTTTGAAATTTCGAAAAAGGGCAAAATTTTGCAGAAAGCCTTATTTTTGTCAATAGATTTTTGCAAAAATTGAAAGGTAGTCTGATGGGGGAAAAATGGACGAAAATACTTTTGTGAACGAATTTTGAAACAAACGTCTCTTGAAAGTTCTGAGAAAATCTCCAGTGGCCACTTAAGAGGTTCCTCAAGGACTACTTGGAGAGAACACTAAAGTGGCCAATATTTTTCGTCTTAGCGGTCACTATAGTAGCTTTGAGAGGTCACTAAGCTTTCAGACACTTGAGTAGCCGCTATCTCGACAACTTAATTGGCCACTTAAAAGTAAAACCCTAAATTGGCCACTAAATATTTTTACAGTAGAAAGTCTACAGAAATATTTTTTTAAATGTCTCGAAAGTTCTTACTTACCTATAAATCCTTTCCTAGCCCCTATAGGGACCTCTTGAGCTTCAGAGGCACAAGGGTCAGACCCTAAACCCCTTTAAAGACAACACCCCTATAGGGGCCACTCTAGAGTTCCTAAGTTAACTTTTTCGAATAATTTTATCAAAAGTAAGCTTTCTAACGGAAAATAAACCGAAAAAGGTGCATCGTTTCCTATATTTTTTTCTTAAAATTTAATTTTTTTCAAGTTTCAATTTCGAAAAAAATCAAGAATAATGGCTTTTTGAAGTACAAAAAAACGAATTTTTTTCTCATTTTCCAATGATTTGAATACTAAAAAAATTCCAATTTTTTTAGTTTCCCTCAATTTTTCAGCGAAAAAAACTGATTTTTTTCGATTTTGCCATTGAATTCTACCATATTAAAGACCGCAAAAAAATCGAAAAAAACCAGGAAGAAAATATAAAATCCCTTGAAAAAAAGTCGAAAATCTTCAAAAAGAGCAGACAGAAGCCATAATTTTTTTAGGGTTCAAAAAATCGAAATTCGAAAAAAATCTAAAAAAATTTCTTTTTTTCTTCAAAAACACTAGAAAAGACAGAAATTTGTATATTTTTGAATGAAACGTCCACCAAAAATGCCTCAAAAATTCTTTCAAAAAGTTCAAAATTCAAAAAAGCTAAAAAAATTTCTTTTTTTCTTTAACGAAATCAAATCAAAATTTTTTTAATCAAAAATGTTTTATTTCTCACACACAAGTACTAAATTTCACGAAATAGGTGTAGGGAGAGTTTGGGAACATATGTGTCGGAACTTGTGGTGATGGAGGGAAGAGGACCCGCGGTCGTGTTAACCCCCACTTGAGTAAATTGAAATAACCATGAAGTTATTCTTTTAGATGTCGATTATGTAGCTTTCATATTTTTGTTGGATCAAGAGTGTTTAGTTCTGTAATGTTGTTTTCAAATCTTCAAAGAAACACTTAAAAAAACAAAAATTTGTATTTTTTTGAATGAAAGGTCCACTAAAATGCCTCAAAAATTCTTCAAATTTTTACAAAAATTAGGCTTTTTCTATCTCAAATCCGTTGAATTATTAAAAAAATGGAACAAACCGGGCGAAGCATCCCTTTTTAACTCCCGCCGAATATTTGCCAATCGCGTCTCTTCGGTGTTGAACGGCTGGAAAAAAATTATTTCATTTTGAAATCGGAAATAGGAATCTTCTCGAAAAAGTTTCAATTTCTTAAATCCGAAAAAAATCTTTGAAATCAAAAAAACCTATTTTCCAAGAAAAAAATCAGGGTCGAAGGTTCAAAAAAATACATTTACCAATAATTTTCTAAACCTAAAATTCTTTTGAAAAAAATTTTTCTCCTTGAAAAAAATTCTTGTCAAAAAAACCCCTACCTACAAAATTAGGAATCTTTTTCTAAAAAAATAAAATGAATAATTTTTGAATTTTCTGAACCAAAAAAATCCCTGAAAAAAACCGTCGGAAACATCTGAATTTTTAAGAAAAAAATTAATGTCAAAATAGAAAAAAATGCAAACGAAATTCTGATAACACTAGCAATCTACTCAAAAAATTAAAAAGTTCTTTTCAGGACCCAAAAATCCGTAAAAATCCACCGAAAAAACCTATTTTTCAGTGTGCAAATGTCGCTTTATCTACACTAAAAAAATTCAGAAAATTCTCAAAAACCAGAAAAAAAAGTCTAGGATCAGAGATCAGAAGATTTTCATAAGATGAAAAAAAGAACAAAGAAAAAATTCAATCACGTAGAAAGGCTGCGTGGAGGTCTAGGAGATTATCTCGAATCCGGAATTTTGAATCATTTATCTGATAAAAATGATGGCTGGGGATTAAAAAAAGGCTTGGAAAGTTAAAAAAAAAAGGTGAATTTGACCAAAAATGGCTTGAAACTTGAAAAAAAGGCTCGGAAAAATAGCTTAAAAAAAGCCAAAATTGTTTAAAAAAATGGCTTGAAACTTGGAAAAAAAGGCTCAGAAATTTAAAAAAAAAAAAAATTTGACCAAAAAAGGGGTGGAGTTTGAAAAAAATCTGTAATTTAACAAAAAAATCCGTAAACTTAGAAAAAGAGAGCATTATAATAGTTCAATCCACCACAAAAATATCAAACTGCATGAAATTTGAAAATACATCAAAAAACAAACCATTTCGATCCATTCCAGCGGTCAGGCACTTTTTGAACCGGCAGGATCTGCATTTTTGTCCAGCCGAACCGTCTGAAAATGAGTAACTTTTAATAAAAAACAAGAAAAAGACAGTAAAAATTGAAAAAATTGGATTTTAGAGAGGAAAAATGACTTCAAAACACGATTTTTCGGAAATACACAAGGTTCTGCCATAATAAATCGACTTTTGACTTCAAAAATTCTAGAAAAACTAAACTATGAATCATCGTAAAGTTGAAAAAAGCTATAAAATCGACTGAAAAAAATTTTGGCTCGAGAAAAGTAGAAAAGATGAGTTTTCAAGGTAAGTTACTACTAGAAATCTACAAATTTACTGCGTAAAGTGTTGCGTAAAAGGCTGCGTAAAGGGTTGCGTAAAGGGCTGCGTAAAAGTCTGCGTAAAGGAACGCGTAAAAGGCTGCGTAAAAAGCTTCGTAAAGGGCTGCGTAAAGGACTGCGTAAAGGTCTGCGTAAAAGGCTGCGTAAAGGTCTGCGTAAAAAGCTGCGTAAAGGGCTGCGTAAAAAGCTGCGTAAAGGGCTGCGTAAAAAGCTTCGTAAAGGGCTGCGTAAAAAGCTTCGTAAAGGGCTGCGTAAAGGTCTGCGTAAAGGGCTGCGTAAAGGGCTGCGTAAAGGTCTGCGTAAAAAAGCTTCTAAAGGGTTGCGCAAAGGACTGCGTAAAAGCAATAATAGCTCCTTTCGAGCTCAAAAAAGCTCCGAGGAAGCTCAAAATTGTACAAAATTTCCGCTCGAAATCCTTCAATGTTTCCTGAATTTTCTCAATTCATCCCAACAACCTTTCAGCACAACACATTTTCTACTCAAAAAGCTTGCTTTTAATGAATTTTCTTCGAATTTACTGCGTAAAGGGCTGCGTAAAAGGCTAAAGGCCCGTCCTATTCATTTTGAGCTCGAAAAAACTCCGATGAAGCTAAAAATTATACAAAAAATCTTGAATAAAAAACATTTTCAGCCCAAAATCCTTCAATTTCTCTCATTTCACCTCAATTTTCGTAAATTTTCTCAATTTTTCCTAACACCACACATTTTCTACTCAAAAAGCTTGCTTTTGAGGCATTTTCTTCTAATTTACTGCGTAAAGGGTTTCGTTAAGGGTTGCGTAAAGGGCTGCGTAAAGAGCTGCGTGACTGCGTAAAGGCAATAAAATTTCATTAAAAGCTCGAAAAAACTCCGATGAAGCTTAAAATTGTACAAAATATCTTGATTAAAATAACATTTTCAGCTTAAAATCCTTCAATTTTCATGAATTTTCTCAATTTTCCCCAACAAACCTTCCAGCACCACACATTTTCTACTCAAAAAGCTTGCTTTTAAGGCATTTTCTTCTAATTTACTGCGTAAAGGGCTGCGTAAAGGGCTGCGTAAAGGGCTACAGACAATGAAAGTTCATTAAAAAGCTCAAAAAAACTCCGATAAAGCTCAAAATTGTACAAAAATATCTTGATTAAAATAACATTTTTCAGCTCAAAAATCTGCAGTTTTTCTCATTTCATATCAATTTTCGTGAATTTTCTCAATTTCAATTTAAAAAGCTTGCTTTTAAGGCATTTTCTTCTAATTTACTGCGTAAAGGGCTGCGTAAAGGGCTGCGTGACTGCGTAAAGGCAATGAAAATTCAATAAAAGCTCAAAAAACTCCGATAAAGCTCGAAATTGTACAAAAATTCAGCTCAAAAACTTGCAATTTTTCGTGAGTTTTCTCAATTTTTCCCAACGAACCTTTCAAGACCACACATCGATTGTCCTTGTTACACGTGTATTTCTTGTCCAAAACGACGGTCCTTCGGAAAAATGCCGAACAGGCCGCGCAGGCATCCACACCGAAATGGATTCCCGTCGAGTCGGTTCCACAAATCGAACAAGCCGGCACCTGGAAAATGAGATGAAAATCCAGGTTTTGATTTAAAATTGTTCATTAAAAGTTATAGCCAATCCAAGTCATTTTTTTCAAATTTCAGGGCTTGAAATCATCCCCGGTCGCGTTTGGAATGGCTAATCACGTTGCGGTCGCGCTACAGATAGATATGAAAACTCGCGAAAGCCGATTTGGGTCGGTTGCACATCAAAAGCTTTGAGCCATTCTCTTCAAGACGAGGTCATTCCAAAACCAAAGGTCGCATTTGGAATGGCTCCAATGACAAAACGCGAAAGTCATCGAAGGACGGGCGAACTTTCCTAATAGAAACCGCTCCGCAACCGCGACGCATCGAGCCATTCCAAATGCGGTCAAGAGCTTTCAAATTGAAAAAATTTTGCTGTTGAAGGATTTTAGAAAGCTTTATGTTCAACTCCAAAAACGCGTAGGTTGCTTTTGGTCGGGCCGCTCCGCAACCGCGACGCATCGAGCCATTCCCAATGCGGTCAAGAGCTTTCAGATCCCTTGAAATCTTTTGAAATTTCAAAAAAATCCAGTGAAGTATTCATTTTCCATTCCAAAACGCGTAAGTAGCTTTTGGTCGGGCCGCTCCGCAACCGCGACGCGTTGAGCCATTCCCAATGAGGTCTGGAGCTTTCAAAGTGCCAGAAATTTTGCTGTTAAAGGACTTCAAGAAGCTCCTACTCAACTCCAAAAACGCGTGAGTAGCTTTTAGCCCGGCCGCTCCGCAACCGCGACGCAGCCATTCCCAATGCGACCATTTCCCTTCTAAAGTCTTCTCGAACCTTGATCTACCCCCTCAGAAAAGTTCAAGCCAATCTAGATCTGAAGATCTAAAGTGCGGGTCACTCTACCCCGCGTGGATCGAAAAAAAACTGTTTTGTTTGATTTGACGTCCTTTCCTACCCCCGCAATGAAAAAAAGGTGAAAAAAAGCTGTGTCGTCACTGAAACCCCCGTAGAAACTCGACGATCGACAAACAGATCTCATCAAAAAAAAATGTTTCCCTTGACCTCAAACAAAAATGATGGCAACTGTTTATTTGACAAACTCGTGTCGTCACTAATTTTTTGGGAATTTGTTCTTTGAAGTCGTGAGAATAATTAGTCATGGGAAAATTACTGTGTCCGTGACTTTGAACCTTTTTTTTGGGGGGGGTTGCCTTTGTTTGACATAATAAAAATTGGAGATTATGATATTGTTAATACATTCAGCTCTATTAAAAAGTTTCTTGAGACAAATTTTTGTAAAAAAATTAAACGTCTTGTAGCTTACGCGCTCCATTGATAATCCGCATCTACAAGCTTTTTTGGGTTGTAATTCCGCGACAAATGTGCTCTATTGATAACTTGTATTTTTTTAAAATTTTTTTATAAAAAAACAATCAAAAACCAACTATCATGAAGCCAGAAAATCATCATCTTGTGCGCTCCATCGACCAAGTCTTTTTTAAGCCTTTTCTCATTTTTTTTTCAGACTTTTGTCACCAAAACCTTCAAGAATCTGTTCTACGAGTTATTGAAACATGTGTTCCTGAGAAACAGAAAAAATTGGCTAAAATGGACTTTTTTCTCGGAAAAAAAGAGTCTAACAGGCTCAAAGTTTTTGAGCAATTGCGCTCCATTGATAATTTGTATTCTTAAGCTAGTTTTGAACTTTTTTGACTAAAAATATGCAAATTTCAACTCTTTGAGCACAATTTCGATGGAAAAATGAAATAGTCTAAAAGGCTCAAATTTTTGAGTAATTGCGCTCCATCGATAATTTTCACTCTTCAACCGGTTTTGAACTTCTTTTTGTCTGAAAATATGCAAATTTCAACGGAAAAATGACCAAAATCATAAAGTCGGATTAATTTTTTTTTAAAGCCAAAAACGTTTCAGTACTTGAAATTTCACATGTTTCTCTAGCGCCGAATAAAGCATCCAACTACTTCAAATTACACATCGAAAGGGAATGTCATCCGAAAAGTTCTATATTTGGTAATTTCGGGTTTCCAGACGACTGGAAGTAACCCAGAAATTAGTGGGAAACGTATCTCTGAGTAGGGGAATACCTTCTGGTAGGGAAAATAAACAGAATAAGTTCTGAGAAAGCTTTCTATAATATTGCAAAGCTTGCAAAACGGTTTCTGAGCTTTTTAGAATGATGCTTTGACCAAAAACTTCGGAAAAAAAAGATAAATTTTCAAAAAATCGGAACAAAAGTCCGTTAAAAAAGTTCAAAAAATCCCGATTCAAACTCCTTTTTCAAAAATAAAAGCCCTAAAAACCAAAAAAAAATCTTCTCAAGGAAGTTCAAGATACCTCCAAAAGGAAAAAAAATGTGATACAATTCAAAAAATCAAGAAAAATTCAAGTTCAGCCTCATAGTACAGCTATAACATCTAAAAACCCCAAAAAACCCTTTTTTTCCCTTTAGATTCCGGTTTGACGTGTCCTACCACTACTAAAAAACTGAATTTTTCGATTTTCCCGAAATATTCTGAACCAAGATACCTTAAGGTACCCCTCAACCAAGTTCCATCAAATTCTGACCCTTCAAGGCCCCCAAAAACGCTACCAACTTCATTGAAAAGGCGCATGGCCCAAGCGAGCTCTCTCTCATTTTGAATGAGCTCGGGCGGCTTGCCCGAGTGCCCAAGCTGCTGTTGTTGTTGCTGGTCCCAATTCGTCGACTCCTCACGTTTGGGACTCAGGGGGACAAAAACGGGCGGCGAGCGGGAGCAGCTCGGCGTCGGGTTGCAAAAATCCAACCGCCGATGCATCATTCTTTATTTATTCATCTGTATATTTGTTAATAAACAGAGAAAGACGACGTGACGGGTTGAGTTTCTCAAGAAGGGGAAACGTAGGAAAATATACAAGGTGTGAGGAAAATGAACGGATTTTCGTGAAAAATTAAAGATAAGTTTTAAAAATCCTACAAGGAATATGGTCCAAGCTTAAAGTGGTACTTTTGATTGGGACTCAAAATTTTGATCTGATTTCAAACCAAAGCCCAAGCATCTGATTTCAAATCGAGGCCCAAGCATCTGACTTCAAATCGAGGCCCAAGCATCTGATTTCAAATCGAGGCCCAAGCATCTGACTTCAAATCGAGGCCCAAGCATCTGATTTCAAATCGAGGCCCGAGCATCTGATTTCAAATCAAGGCCCAAGCATCTGATTTCAAATCGAGGCCCGAGCATCTGATTTAAAATCAAGGACCAAGCATCTGATTTCAAATCGAGGCCCAAGCGCTTGATTTCAAATCGAGGGCCAAGCATCTGAGTTCAAATCTGGCCCAAGCATCTGATTTCAAATCTGGCCCAAGCACCTGATTTTAAATCGATGCTCAAGCATCTGATTTCAAATCGAGGCCCAAGCATCTGAGTTCAAATCTGGCCCAAGCATCTGACTTCAAATCGAGGCCCAAGCATATTATAATAGTGACCTTTAAAATGAAAGGATCGGCTCGAAAATCTAATAATATAGTTTTAAAAAAAGCGTTCTTCTACAAACTTATCATTAGGCGATGGAAAAAGATACGAAGAATTTTTAAAGTTTCTCGAAAATAAAAAAAAATCGAAAATGGGCGGGGTCAAAGAAATGCAGAAAAATCCCTCAAGTGGTCATTAGAAATTCTTTTTTTCGAGTTCTGAGTGCATTCAAAAAAAGCATATTTCAATACCAGAATGTGAATAAAAATGGGCGGAGTCAGAGGAATATATTATAAATAAGGGAATTCAAATTGTTTTCAAGTGGTCACTAAAGAGAATTTTTCAAGGTTGGAGCTCATGTGGGGTGTTAAAGTTCCACCTGTAATTAAAGACCAGAAATTCCGGAATTTATATACCAGGCTTTCCAAAATAAAGTGGGCGGGGTCAAAGGTACAAGAAAAAGGGAATTTTTTTTCAAGTGGTCACTTAAAGATCCTATTATTTCAACGCCTCGTAGGCGTACCAAAAAGAAGCTTCTCATGTATTTATACACCAGGCTTTTCAAAATACAAGGGGGCGGGGTCAAAGGTACAAAAAAAGGGGGTTTTTTTTCAAGTGGTCACTTAAGGATTCTATTATTCTTAAGCCTCGTGGGCGTACCAAAATGAAGATTTTCTTGTATTAAAAAAATCAAAAATCCGTGTTTATATACCAGGCTTTTCAAAATACAAGGGGGCGGGGTCAAAGGTACAAGAAAAAATGGATTTTTTTTCAAGTGGTCACTTAAAGATCCTATTATTTCTAAGCCTCGTAGGCGTACCAAAAATAATATTTTTCTTGTATTTATATACCAGGCTTTTCAAAATACAAGGGGGCGGGGTCAAAGGAACAAGAAAAATGGATTTTTTTTCAAGTGGTCACTTAAGGATTCTATTATTTCTAAGCCTCGTAGGCGTACCAAAAAGAAGATTCTCATGTATTTAAATACAAAAATCTTGTATTTACAAAGGTTGATGTGTAGGAAAAAACCGTAGGCGGGGTCATCGGAACAAGAAAAAAAGTGTTTCGAGGTGGGAGGTCAAAAATCCATTTGGTTGGTTGTTCGGAGGGTCCTCCGAGGGGTTTCCTCTCCTCCTCCCACTTTTTTCGCCACTCATCAAACAGAATCGTATGCTGGTTGATCTTACAAAGGACGCTTTTTCGTCCTGTTTGTACAATGCGGACAGAAATGAGCGGGAGAACGAGTGTATGTGAAGGGAGCAACTTGGCGCAATTTCTTCCCCTTCTCCGACTTTTTTCCGTGTGGGAAAGTTCAAAGTTACGGTTCATCGGCTACGGATAACACTATAAAAGGTCCTGACACGATTAGCGAGAGAGTATGGAAAAAGCGGAGTTTCAGACATATTTTTTGTTATTTTGGTTTCAAGCTAACTTTAATGAACTCTGGTCGCATTTGGAATGGCTTTGGGAAGAGCTTTTTTCAGCTTACAACAGGAATAGTCAATACCAAAGCGCGAAAACCGTTTTAAAGTCGGGCGAAACTTTTAAGGTACCCATGACGTTTTGAGCCATTCCAAGTGCGACCAAAACATTCGAAACTATGTTGAATTCACTATGAAAAATGTCGAAAAAAGTCAAAAAGTGGATATTATTTTAAAAAGGTCCTGACACGAATGGCGAGAGAGCATGGGAAAATGAGAGATTTAGACATTTTTTTTTGTAATTTTGGTGTCAAACCAACGGTAAATGGACTCTGGTCGCATTTGGAATGGCTTTGCGGTTAGAAAAACTTTTTCTTTGGCTTGAACATTTTGATACCAAAGCGCGAAAACCGTTTTAAGGTCGGGCGAAACTTTTCATGACGTTTCGAGCCATTCCAAGTGCGACCAAAGCTTCCAAAACTGCAGTAAATCTACTACGGCTCTAAAAAGAACATGTTAATCATATCAAAAATCCAAAAAAATATTATTTTTTTAATTTTTTTCATGCTCAAAAAAACACTAGAAACTTGAAAAAAATCTCAAAATTCCACAATTTTCAAATCTTCATCTATAAGTTGACTTTCTAAGGAGCTCGATCCGAAAATAGAACAATTAGGCTCCAAAAAATTGTATTTCCTGCTACGAAAAGCAAATTTCCAGGTGAAGCCAGTGGTTCGAGTTCTTTGGTGTGTGTGTATAGTTTAGTTCCTGGAACTCGGGGTTCAAAAATCATCAAAAAAAAGGAATTTCTTCCAATTGAGAGTAGAAGATCAAGCTTAAATATTTTCAAAGATAATCACAAAAAAATAATTCTTAAAAAAATATCTAAAAAGAAAAATCAATAAAAAAATCTGAACAAAATGCTCAAAAATTCATCAAAAATGGCCCAGATTCATCAAAAAAATTTGAACAAAATGGCCCCAAAATTCCTCAAAAATCTGAAAAAAAGGCTCAAAATTCATCAAAAATCTGAAAAAAATGGCCCAAAATTCATCAAAAATGGCCTAAAATTCATTAGAAATCTGAGCAAAATGGCCTAAAATTCATCAAAAATTTGAACAAAATGGCCCAAAAATCATTAAAAATCTGAGCAAAATGGCCTAAAATTCCTCAAAAATCTGAACAAAATGGCTCAAAATTCATCAAAAATCTGAAAAAAATGGCCCAAAATTCATCAAAAATGGCCTAAAATTCATTAGAAATCTGAGCAAAATGGCCTAAAATTCATCAAAAATTTGAACAAAATGGCCCAAAAATCATTAAAAATTTGAACAAAATGGCCCCAAAATTCCTCAAAAATCTGAAAAAAAGGCTCAAAATTCATCAAAAATCTGAAAAAAATGGCCCAAAATTCATCAAAAATGGCCTAAAAATTCATTAGAAATCTGAGCAAAATGGCCTAAAAATTCATCAAAAAAATTTGAACAAAATGGCCCAAAAAAATCATTAAAAAAATCTGAGCAAAAATGGCCTAAAATTCCTCAAAAATCTGAACAAAATGGCTCAAAATTCATCAAAAATCTGAAAAAAATGGCCCAAAATTCATCAAAAATGGCCTAAAAATTCATTAGAAATCTGAGCAAAATGGCCTAAAATTCATCAAAAATTTGAACAAAATGGCCCAAAAATCATTAAAAATCTGAGCAAAATGGCCTAAAATTCCTCAAAAATCTGAACAAAATGGCTCAAAATTCATCAAAAATCTGAAAAAAATGGCCCAAAATTCATCAAAAATGGCCTAAAATTCATTAGAAATCTGAGCAAAATGGCCTAAAAATTCATCAAAAATTTGAACAAAATGGCCCAAAAATCATTAAAAATTTGAACAAAATGGCCCCAAAATTCCTCAAAAATCTGAAAAAAAGGCTCAAAATTCATCAAAAATCTGAAAAAAATGGCCCAAAATTCATCAAAAATGGCCTAAAATTCATTAGAAATCTGAGCAAAATGGCCTAAAATTCATCAAAAATTTGAACAAAATGGCCCAAAAATCATTAAAAAAATTTGAACAAAATGGCCCCAAAAATTCCTCAAAAAAATCTGAAACAAAAAGGCTCAAAAATTCATCAAAAAAATCTGAAAAAAATGGCCCAAAATTCATCAAAAAAATGGCCTAAAAATTCATTAGAAATCTGAGCAAAAATGGCCTAAAAATTCATCAAAAAAATTTGAACAAAATGGCCCAAAAAAATCATTAAAAAAATCTGAGCAAAATGGCCTAAAATTCCTCAAAAAAATCTGAACAAAAATGGCTCAAAAATTCATCAAAAAAATCTGAAAAAAATGGCCCAAAAATTCATCAAAAAAATGGCCTAAAAATTCATTAGAAATCTGAGCAAAATGGCCTAAAATTCATCAAAAAAATTTGAACAAAATGGCCCAAAAAAATCATTAAAAAAATTTGAACAAAATGGCCCTCAAAAATTCCTCAAAAAAATCTGAAAAAAAGGCTCAAAAATTCATCAAAAAAATCTGAAAAAAATGGCCCAAAAATTCATCAAAAAAATGGCCTAAAAATTCATTAGAAATCTGAGCAAAATGGCCTAAAAATTCATCAAAAAAATTTGAACAAAATGGCCCAAAAAAATCATTAAAAAAATCTGAGCAAAATGGCCTAAAAATTCCTCAAAAAAATCTGAACAAAAATGGCTCAAAAATTCATCAAAAAAATCTGAAAAAAATGGCCCAAAAATTCATCAAAAAAATGGCCTAAAAATTCATTAGAAATCTGAGCAAAATGGCTAAAATTCATCAAAAATTTGGACAAAATGGCCCAAAAATCATTAAAAATCTGAGCAAAATGGCCTAAAATTCCTCAAAAATCTGAACAAAATGGCTCAAAAATCATCAAAAATCTGAACAAAATGGTCCAAAATTCATCGAAAATCTGAAAAAAAGGCCCGAAATTTATCAAAAATCTGAACAAAATGGTCCAAAATTCATCAAAAATACAGCATAAGCCCTTGAAAAACCTCGAAAAAGATAGAAATTGGAAAAAATTAATGAAAATTGAGAAAATACACGTCAAAGGATAACATTGCAAAAAGCTCAAAAACTAGGCGTTCAGGACTAAAAATCAAACAATTTTCTTGCAAAAACACCTATCAAAGGTAATGAAATCAATGGGGAAAAGCTCGTTCAACGAATTTTTTCCGGCCAAAAACACCAGTGATTACCAAGCTAGACACGGAAACTACACATGTATGGACTAATAAGTCCTCTGAAAGTCGGGCGGAAAAAAGAGGCTTGTTTTTCTTTTCCGAGAGCACAGAGAACAGCTTCAGTCAATGATCAAAACGTGAGATTTTCCGGGAATTATGGAAAGAAAAAGGCGGTTAAAAAATGAGGCAGATTAAAAGTACGCGATAACACGTATCTCTTCCTCATTCACTTGTCTGTTTTCAGAAATGTTTTTCTCGTTTCTAATGAGATTAATCTCATGTCCTATGACTTGAACAAATCATGGTCGCACTTGGGATGGCTCTCAGGGCGGCGCGGTCGCGTTTCGGTCATTCTAATGTGATTAAGCTCATTTGAAAAGTCATGGTCGCACTTGGAATGGCTTTTAAAGCGGCGCGGTCGCGTTGCGGTCATTTTAAAGGGAATAAGTTTCTGTCTTAAGATTTGAAAAAGTCACGTCCGCATTTGGAATGGCTCTCAAAGCGGCGCGGTCGCGTTGCGGTCATTCTAATGGGATTAAGCTCATGTCCTATGACTTGAAAAATCATAAAAATCATGGTCGCTTTTAGAATGGCTCTGAGAGCTGCGCGGTTTAAAATCAACTGGCTTTCTCTTTACCGAGGTGATTTTTGATCTGACGCAACTCAAAAGAACCATTCTACGTGCGACTTTTTTCCTCAAAACATGATTTCAATTTTAAAAGCACTCTAGAGTAGCTCGAAATTGTTTGAAAAAGAACTTTTGAAGTAAAAAAAATCCAACTTTTTCAAAAATTGAATACTCACTCAACATTCTTCAATCCAAAAAGATATTCTGAAACGCTTTTTTTTCCAAAGTTTTCAAAAAATATTTAAAGTTTTATGAATCTTGAAAAACCTACTTTTTGAGAAACACCTCCGAAAAAAATAAATCCTCAAAAAAAGAAAAAAACAAAGAACGTTTGGAAGGCTTGAGATATTTAAAAAAACCAAAAATTGAGCTCTTCTCCGTTCGAAGATATTCATTGAAACCTAAGAAGGTTAATAGAAATGAAAAAAATAAAGATTTTGAGTTTTTTTAAGATTTTTCCTATGAAGTTTTAAAGCTTGAAGCTTGGAAAAAGTCTTCTGGAATATCAAAAACTTTTTAAAAAAATTCAGTTGAATCATAATATTCCGAAGACAATCCTAGATGTCCCAAAAGTCAATCAAATTTTGACAATTTTCGACTTTTTCAGAAACATCCTGGAATCGTTAAAAAATCAAAAAATGCCCAAGAGTTTTTCAAATGGACAGTTTTCTAGCTCGAAAAATCTTCATGAAACGCAGTCAAAATCAGTCCAAAGGGCTCAAAAAAAAACCGAGGAATCACGTTGAAAAAAGCAGCTTTCCGAATGAAAATCCACTCCTTATAAAGGCTCATTTCAACTCGCTAATTCCTAGGAAAACACCCTCACAAACAGCAATTATATAATAACATGGCGTCAATCTTTGATCTGGGGGAGGAAAGAAACAAAACTTCCGCACTTGGTTATTTGCCCTTTCTGGCACATTTATTCTCATTAAAATCGACTAATTTTTCTGTTTTCAAGGGCCCGACTTCTCGGAAAACGCTAATTATGCTAATTATTCTGATAAGTCTCATGTAGTTTGTATAGGCACACCTTCCGCCTCCTCTACAATTACATGTTATCTGGATCAATTTATTTAATTTCCAGTTCAAAAATATGTTATTATTTTCTCTTCAGACGGATCATTATAACATCATTTTTGCCACGCCCTCACCAGCTTGAAAAGTGATTCTGAACCTTGTAAACTTCCTCATTTATTTCCAGAGAACACAACGGAAAAAAATGCCAAAGAATTTTTCAAATGGACAGTTTTGCTCTCAAAATGTTTGCCTAGAAATCGAGCTTATGAAAATCTCTACCAAATCACCAAGACTTAAAAATCCTGGTCGCGTTTGGAAAGGCTCAACGCGTTGCGGTCGCGCTGCGGTTCGAGTTAAAAGTTTCTGACCATCAGATTTTACGTGGAAAATTGCTTGAAAATGCCCTAGAACTTTCAAATTGAAGCCAAGAAACTATCCAAATCCGTCAACTTTGGGAAACTTGAGAAGAAAAGACTTTTCTGAACATTCAAAAATATTTTCAAGCCGAATACCTCGAAAAGGTCCTCTATAACTTCAAATTGCGTCTTTCAGAAAAATTCAAAAAATTCTCGAATTCCGGCTATGATCCAAAAACCTTCCGGAAATCTTTTTTCTCACTTTTTGATTTTCTCAAGCTTGTGAAAGTTTTTTTGAAGTCAGCTACCTTGAAAAAAGACATTCTAATACTAAAAATTCTTTTTTGAAACTTTCTGAAGGTCCAAAAACAGATTTCCTACGATTCAAAGACCTTCAGAATAATTTTTTTTAAATTCTCTAACTCATACCGTACAATGTTCCATTGCTTCTAAAGCTCTTCAATTCTTTCTAAAAGTGAAAAATTCAGTTTTTTTTTCTTCCAAGGTCCAAAAAGGTTCTCGAATTCCGGCTATGATCCTAAAACCATTTGCACTCTTTTTTTCAATCTTTTTTCATATTTTACTAAGTTCTAATGCTCCTGAAGCTCTCCAAGCCTTCCTACAAGTAAAAACTTTTTCCAAGGTCCAAAAAGGTTCTCAAATTCCAGCTGTGATCTCAAAACTCTCCGCAATCTTTTTTTCAATATTTTTTTTTCATGTTTTACAAAAATTCCAATGCTTCTGAAGCTCTCAAAGCATTCCTAAAAAGTTAAAAAAATCCATTTTTTTCTTCCTAGATCCAAAAAAAGGTTCTCGGATTCCGGTTATGATCCTAAAGTTTCCAAATAATTTTTCATATGCTTTTTTCATGTTTCACAAAGTTCTAATGCTCCTGAAGCTTTCCAAGCCTTCCTACAAGTGAAAAAAATTCATTTTTTTTTCTTCCAAGGTCCAAAGAGTTCTCCAGTACATCCTATGATCCAAAAAACCTTCCAAAAAGCATCTTTTTGAAGCTAATTCTGACGTTTCGATGCTCCAAAAGCTCCACAAGCCATACTACAGATAAAAAGTCGTTTTCCCTCTTTTCTTTGCTCTTTTAAAAAATTCATTTTTTCTTCCAGATCCAAAAAGGTTCTCGAATTCGGCTATGATCCTAAAACTACCAGAAGATCTTTCTGATGCTTTTTTCATTTCTTGCAATGTTCTAATGCTCCAAAGCCTTGCTACAAGTAAAAATACATCTCTTCCTCTCTTTCCTTCGCTCTGTTTGCCCAAGATTGCTCGTTCTCTGACTCCTCATCCAAAGAACAAAAAAGGGCTGGTCGACTCAAAACAGAGCAAAAAATGATGTGTTGTGGACCAACCGACAATTACGCGGCCCACCCAGTTCAAGCTCCACGGAGTGATGTCATTCTCGTTCTTTTTTCTTGATTGGAAAACGTCAAAATCAATAAATTGCGGACGGTTTGTGTCGTCATTCGTATGTACATTTGTTTGTTTTGGTGGGCGCCGAGTTCACTTTTTTTCTTTTCCTTCACTGTATTTTCTCCCGTTGGCCACATGAGCTTCTCCCCATTTTTTCCTAGTCGTGACGTTGATTTTCAAAAAAAAAAATGACGTTTTTCGGGAAAACCCCCTTTGTTCGTTCAGACCTCATATGACTAAATTTTTCAAATTTTTGCTCTCTTAGTCATTTTTTTATTTTTTTCTAGAGATCTTTGAAGCTTCTCAAGGTAAAATTTACTTTTTGAAGAACCAAATTCGAAAAAAATGTTTTTTGAAGGCTTCCAGTAGCTCAAAAATTTCTATTGCCTCGTCATTTTCGGTTCTCTCGGCCGATTTTTTTTAATTTTAAAACTTTTTTTGAAGCCTTTTTTTCAGGTTTATTGATAAAAAAATAACTACTTTTAACACTAAAATTGAAAAAAATTATCCTCTTTCAAAACTTACAATTTAAAAAAATGATAAAAAAATAATTTTTAAGGCATCCGGCAGCTCAAAAATTACATTGCCTCCGCGTCTTTTTTTCCTTTTTGCCGATTTTTTTCCAGATTTCCCAGGTGTCTCACAAGTTCGTTCTTAATATAAATTCCCTGAAAAACTACTGGAAAAAAATAATATTTCTCAGAGAAAAAAATTCCTGAGATCTCCCAGTAGTTCATATGGTCCATTGTCTACATGTTTCTTTACTTTTTTTGTAAATTTTTCGGCATTTTTTTGTTTTTTTCAAAAAGAGCTTAGTGGAAAAAAACCAATACTAAAATGATATATAGCCCCTCCAAATGGCAAAAAATCTAAAAAAAAAGTTCAAAAGTCGAAAAAAATTGCTTCAAAATCGGAAAAAATATCTTCCAAAATGAAAAAAAAAATTTCATTTTCTGTCAAAAAGCCCTTCCAAAAGTCCAAAAATCCCTCTTTCATGGTCGGAAAATTTTTTTCTGTCAAAAAAAGCATTCCAAAAGACCGAAAATCCCTTCCGAAAATCGAAAAACCCAAAAAATCCAGCTTCTTTACTGCCTCAGAAGGCTAGAAAAATCCACTTTTCTGAACTAAAAAATTTGTATAAGCTATAAAATCCTTCCCTCCTCGTGACGATATTCACAAGAACAATTTCACAAAATAAAACCAAATAAAAATGGAAATTTGAAGGAACGGACCACTCTGACGAGGCCGCCGGCCTGTGACGGCGTCCCTGGCTGCGAGTTCGAAGAACTGCTGGGTTCTCGTTTCGGCGGCAGACTTCCTCCGTGGGGCGACGTCTTCGCCAGCTGCTGAGCAAAGTCGTAGGCTGTCAGGCCTGCAAAAAATGAGGTTAGTTGTGAATAAATTGAATCAAAATGTTCTACTTCTCACACTCAAGTACTGAATTGACGGAGTAAATGTGGCATGATCAAAAAAAAAAAAATAGCTTTAACCTTTTCAATAAATCTTTATACAGCTCTTTCCGAAAAAAATAAATTAAATTCCGTCGTGATAAAGACTAAAACTGACGAGAAAATCAAGTTTGACGCGCCCCAGACGTTTCTAGGCTTTCCAAGTGATCCCTTAAGAGTTCTAACGCCACTAAAATGATCCCTAGAAATGCCTAGAAACTGCCGGGGGACGCTTGGTTTGCGTCAAATCGACAAAAACTACAACTAGAAGTTCCTGGGCTTTCCAAGTGATGCCTTAAGAGTTCTAACGCCACTAAAGTGATCCCTAGAAATGCCTAGAAACTTTCGGGGAACGCTTGGTTTTGCGTCAAATCGACAAAAACTACAACTAGAAGTTCCTGGGCTTTCCAAGTGATGCCTTAAGAGTTCTAACGCCACTAAAGTGATCCCTAGAAATGCCTAGAAACTTTCGGGGAACGCTTGGTTTGCGTCAAATCGACAAAAACTACAACTAGAAGTTCCTGGGCTTTCCAAGTGATGCCTTAAAAGTTCTAACGCCACTTAAGTGATCCCTAGAAATGCTCGGAACCGTCCGGTTTACGTGAGCGAGGTCCAAGAAACCAGTGAAATTCCTAGAAATGAAGAATCGGTCAATTGAAATTACAACTAGAACTTTCTGGGCTTTCCAAGTGATGCCTTAAGAGTTCTAACGCCACTAAAGTGATCCCTAGAAATGCCTAGAAACTGCCGGGGGACGCTTGGTTTGCGTCAAATCGACAAAAACTACAACTAGAAGTTCCTGGGCTTTCCAAGTGATGCCTTAAGAGTTCTAACGCCACTAAAGTGATCCCTAGAAATGCCTAGAAACTTTCGGGGAACGCTTGGTTTGCGTCAAATCGACAAAAACTACAACTAGAAGTTCCTGGGCTTTCCAAGTGATGCCTTAAAAAGTTCTAACGCCACTTAAAGTGATCCCTAGAAATGCTCGGAACCGTCCGGTTTACGTGAGCGAGGTCCAAGAAACCAGTGAAATTCCTAGAAATGAAGAATCGGTCAATTGAAATTACAACTAGAACTTTCTGGGCTTTCCAAGTGATGCCTTAAGAGTTCTAACGCCACTAAAGTGATCCCTAGAAATGCCTAGAAACTGCCGGGGGACGCTTGGTTTTGCGTCAAATCGACAAAAAAACTACAACTAGAAGTTCCTGGGCTTTCCAAGTGATGCCTTAAGAGTTCTAACGCCACTAAAGTGATCCCTAGAAATGCCTAGAAACTTTCGGGGAACGCTTGGTTTGCGTCAAATCGACAAAAAAACTACAACTAGAAGTTCCTGGGCTTTCCAAGTGATGCCTTAAAAAGTTCTAACGCCACTTAAGTGATCCCTAGAAATGCTCGGAACCGTCCGGTTTACGTGAGCGAGGTCCAAGAAACCAGTGAAATTCCTAGAAATGAAGAATCGGTCAATTGAAATTACAACTAGAACTTTCTGGGCTTTCCAAGTGATGCCTTAAGAGTTCTAACGCCACTAAAGTGATCCCTAGAAATGCCTAGAAACTGCCGGGGAACGCTTGGTTTGCGTCAAATCGACAAAAACTACAACTAGAAGTTCCTGGGCTTTCCAAGTGATGCCTTAAGAGTTCTAACGCCACTAAAGTGATCCCTAGAAATGCCTAGAAACTTTCGGGGAACGCTTGGTTTGCGTCAAATCGACAAAAACTACAACTAGAAGTTCCTGGGCTTTCCAAGTGATGCCTTAAAAAGTTCTAACGCCACTTAAGTGATCCCTAGAAATGCTCGGAACCGTCCGGTTTACGTGAGCGAGGTCCAAGAAACCAGTGAAATTCCTAGAAATGAAGAATCGGTCAATTGAAATTACAACTAGAACTTTCTGGGCTTTCCAAGTGATGCCTTAAGAGTTCTAACGCCACTAAAGTGATCCCTAGAAATGCCTAGAAACTGCCGGGGGACGCTTGGTTTTGCGTCAAATCGACAAAAACTACAACTAGAAGTTCCTGGGCTTTCCAAGTGATGCCTTAAGAGTTCTAACGCCACTAAAGTGATCCCTAGAAATGCCTAGAAACTTTCGGGGAACGCTTGGTTTGCGTCAAATCGACAAAAACTACAACTAGAAGTTCCTGGGCTTTCCAAGTGATGCCTTAAGAGTTCTAACGCCACTAAAGTGATCCCTAGAAATGCCTAGAAACTTTCGGGGAACGCTTGGTTTGCGTCAAATCGACAAAAACTACAACTAGAAGTTCCTGGGCTTTCCAAGTGATGCCTTAAAAGTTCTAACGCCACTTAAGTGATCCCTAGAAATGCTCGGAACCGTCCGGTTTACGTGAGCGAGGTCCAAGAAACCAGTGAAATTCCTAGAAATGAAGAATCGGTCAATTGAAATTACAACTAGAACTTTCTGGGCTTTCCAAGTGATGCCTTAAGAGTTCTAACGCCACTAAAGTGATCCCTAGAAATGCCTAGAAACTGCCGGGGGACGCTTGGTTTGCGTCAAATCGACAAAAACTACAACTAGAAGTTCCTGGGCTTTCCAAGTGATGCCTTAAGAGTTCTAACGCCACTAAAGTGATCCCTAGAAATGCCTAGAAACTGCCGGGGGACGCTTGGTTTGCGTCAAATCGACAAAAACTACAACTAGAAGTTCCTGGGCTTTCCAAGTGATGCCTTAAGAGTTCTAACGCCACTAAAGTGATCCCTAGAAATGCCTAGAAACTTTCGGGGAACGCTTGGTTTGCGTCAAATCGACAAAAACTACAACTAGAAGTTCCTGGGCTTTCCAAGTGATGCCTTAAAAGTTCTAACGCCACTTAAGTGATCCCTAGAAATGCTCGGAACCGTCCGGTTTACGTGAGCGAGGTCCAAGAAACCAGTGAAATTCCTAGAAATGAAGAATCGGTCAATTGAAATTACAACTAGAACTTTCTGGGCTTTCCAAGTGATGCCTTAAGAGTTCTAACGCCACTAAAGTGATCCCTAGAAATGCCTAGAAACTTTCGGGGAACGCTTGGTTTGCGTCAAATCGACAAAAACTACAACAAGAAGTTCCTGGGCTTTCCAAGTGATGCCTTAAGAGTTCTAACGCCACTAAAGTGATCCCTAGAAATGCCTAGAAACTTTCGGGGAACGCTTGGTTTGCGTCAAATCGACAAAAACTACAACAAGAAGTTCCTGGGCTTTCCAAGTGATGCCTTAAGAGTTCTAACGCCAATTAAGTGATCCCTAGAAATGCTCAGAACCGTCCGGTTTACATTACGGAGGCCCAAGAAAGCACTGAAATTCATAGAAATGTGGAATCGGTCAATTGAAATTCTAAAAATCAGCCGAACCCTTCTTTTTTGATTTTAATACAGTTCTTTTCCGAAAAAATAAATTTTGCTCTAATAAAAGCTAAAATTGAGCAGTGAATAAACTCGGAGGCGCCTTAGCCGTTCTTGAGCAAGTCTAGGGATCACTTAAGAGTTCTGGCGCCGCTAAAGGTGTGAGAAATCATTGAAAACGTATAATTTCGAGTCTAAAATGAAATTTCTCTTTTATTTTTCTTAATCTTTACCCTTCAAACTTGCGTATCACTGGGAAATTATCACAAAGCACATGAGCCATTAAATCTAGGTGTAGAGATAAGGTATTTTTATGAGTAATACGAAAAGCAGAAAATCATAAAGAATTCCTAAATTTTGGAATGAAATTGAAGATAGAAAATCTACTTTTTGAGTACAGAAATCTTACTTTTTAGTTAAAGCTAGGCTTTAAATTGAAATCAAAATGTAACCAGAAACGACGTCGGCAGAAAAAATGCTTTCTTTTCCATCAAAAAAATCTAACTTTTTAGCTAAAGATATGCTAGGATTCCAATGAAAAACACACCAGAAAACCATAATTTTTGGCTGAGATTGTGCTTTCAATTGACTGAAAGAAACAACAACGAAAAAAAAATTGCTATTTTCAATTCAAAAAACTAATTTTTCGTCTAAAAGCTACACCTGAATCAAATGAATCCTTACCAGAAACAGAGGCGACGTCCGCGGAGATCTTGCGGATGAGGGAGGGGGACGCGCCGGCGATTCCGAGAGCCGTCGTCGACGTCGGCATCTGCTGGACGGACGACGTCGACGGCATGCCGACCGCCCGCGCCGCCGCCGATAACTGTAGCGCCTTCGTTGCTCTGCAAACAGGTATCTTATTAATTAATCAGAGCAGAGCAATTACGATTGAATCCGCCGAAGAGATCTTTTTTTTTTTGATTTTTGAAAAAGTGTTCGCGTTTTGGAGATTTTCGGATTCTGACCGGTAAGTGATAAGAATCGTTCAGAAAAAGCTTCAAACCTTCTAAGCATGTGATAGTTGATTAATAAAAAGTGGAAAAAGTGGCATTTTCATTGTTTGGGGACGTGAACCAGGTGCGCTGGAGGCTATAACTTGGCTCAAAATGATCAGACTGAGCTCCAATAAAATTTATTAGCTTTTATAGAACGATCTGAAAGCTGTACAAAAAACCGGATCGAAAAATTCGCATTTCCACGATTTTTCCATTATCACCGATCAGTGATAAGATTCACTTAAAAAAGGGTCTAATTATTAAAATCATCATCAATCATCAATATTTATCATCTAAAAACGAATTTTTATGGATAAAAAGTCAAAAAAGTCGAGGTTTTCAATGTTTGAGGATGTGCGCTATGACGTCACTATTAAAAAGTGGCCTGGCCCACGTATGCTCAAAATTTTAGTTTAGCGCAAGAAAATGAGTTCTGCTTGTGAAAATGAGTTATTGCAAGGCTATTTAAAAGGTGTGCAAAGTTTGAAGAGATTTGAACAATATTTAAAGAAGATATAATCAAAAAACCATTTTATGACCAGTGAGAAGAGAAAATATGAGACGAAAATCAAGAAAATAACTATGAAAACGCAACAGAAAACCTTGCAGTCCAAACACACAAAATACAAAGTCCCAAGGTTCAAATAGCAAAAAAATCGAGTTTGATTGATACTTCTCCTATCGATAGTTTGACGTTCTTATCTTCACTACTTTGGGAAAATATCAATCAAGATTGTTTCATTGGAAAATCGAGAAAGAAGGGGAACTTTTTGAACTGGACGATAGTCTAAAAGCGTCTAGACATGACGGGAAATGCAAAAATCCAGTGCAAAAAGAGCATCGGAGATTAAAGCGATAACGGCTTGGAAAGCTCAACAAAACGCCATTTTCTTCCTTTTTTTTCCGGGGTTCAAACAACAGCCCAATTTTGAGATTAGGAAACCTATCAACTTGAGAATTTTTCAACGAGTTTCGGAAAAGGTGAAATGAATCATAGTCAAAATTATGGGCTTGAACGAAAAAAGTTCGAATTTACGTAAGATGGTTTCTGAGAAGACGCAAATTCATAATGAATGACTTCAAACCCGAGCCGAAAACTCTTAAAAACCCCAGAGTGATCCCTAAAGGGCAACCTTAGAGGCCTTAAGGTTCCCCTCTAGGGACCACTTAACCTCCCTCTAGAGGGGCCACTAAAGCTTGCAGAAGGGACACCTATAGGGGACGTTCTAGTCGATTAAATTTGACTTATAGGAGTCACTTGAGCTTCAGACACTTAGGGGTCACACCCAAATCCCTATAGGGACCACTTAAATTTTATATGGGCGCTTTTTGTCCCCCTAAGGGGCTTTTCATTCCCCTAGCCCCTGAAGGGACTACTCTGGCGTACATAACTTCAAAACTGCATAAAAAAACTGAAAAAAATCGACTTTCATTAAAAAGTACGATGGGGCGCATTTCCTTAAACACCTTCATTTTTTTACAAAAAAATTTTTCAAGGGTTTTTCAATTTTAAAAATTTTTAAATCATTCTAACTAACTTCCAGGATAAAAATATAGAATCGTAGACAAAAAAATTTTTTTGAATGGAAAAATTTCCCGAAAAATTGAATTTATCACGTTTCAAACTCGATCAAGAGCAAAAATTATCCAAAGACCACTTTTGAGAGACACGAAAAAAATTTAATTAAATATCCAAAAAAACTTAATAAGAACCGAAAACCAGCCAAAAATACGTCAAAGTCTGATCAAAACTCAAAAATCGGTCATAGAAGTGCTAAAAACCAATGAAAATGAGCGAAAATCGGGAGATTTTTAAAAAGTTCGCAATTAAAAGGAACTTTCTATGTATTATATTATTATTTACTACTTGATTTTGAAGAAAAATTCAAAAAGAGTGAAAAATTGGCTCTCGGCCAAAAATTCCCAGACAAACTACACACTCAAAGACCCGATCTCCACATTACACTTCAACATTTGCACTATCAATCGGAGGGAAAAATCAAAAATCGACCACTAAAAACAACAAGAAATGTTCAAAATTCCACCAAAAAAGAAAAAAAAAAGAGAAAACGTTCAAAAAGTTCAGAAAGTTTTCGGCTACCTTCAAACGCTGTATTTGATATTTCAAAAATCAGATTTTTCCAGGTAATACCAAAAAAATAAACGAAAAACTTGAAAATTTTGCAGTTCTCAATACAAAACAAGACTTTACTTATAAATTTCGACACTTCTAACATAGTAAAAATCAAAAATCAGCTCCAAAAAACGTTAAAATGACCAAAAAAAGACGATTAAAAAATTCCAAGTGGTTATCGGAAGAAAAAAACGAAAAACCCGATTATTTTTGTAGTCTAGTAAGGTTCAGCTGCCTTAAAACTCTATATTTGACCTTCAAAATTCAATTTATAGCCTTCTTTTTCAAAATCATAACCAAAAATCGGATGGAAAGATTGAAAAATTGCTCTTTGCCAACAATTTGTTTACAAAAGAAGTACAGAAAACGCATTTTACGCCTAAAAATTGAGTTTTTAAGCGATTTCAAATCGAGAATTAGCTATAAAAAACGCTGAAAACAACCAAAAATTAAAATTTCGAAAGTTCTGCTTGTTCGAAATTCCTTACAAGAACAGACTACACTTTCAAAAACCTGTTTTTTCGCAATAAAATCAAAATTTTCAGGCTATAAACATCAAAAATCGGTCACAAAATACATTGAAAACAATTAAAAACAAAAATTTTCAGTCATTTCAAAAAAATTCTGCTCGTTTAAAATTTCTCGCAAGAACAGATTACTCTTTCTAAAACCTGTTTTTCGCAATAAAAATCAAATTTTTCAGGCTATAAACATCGAAAATCAGCCACAAAATACATTGAAAAAAATAAAAATTGTAAATTTCAAGATTTAAAAATTATTTGCTTGTTTGAAATCCCTTACAAGAACAGACTACACCTTCAAAAACCTGTTTTTCGCTATAAAATCAAATTTTTCAGGCTATAAACATCGAAAATCAGCCACAAAGTACATTGAAAAAATTAAAAACAAAAATTTTCAGTCATTTCAGAAATTCTGCTCGTTCAAAATTTCTCGCAAGAACAGGATAAGCTTTCAAAAACCTGATTTGCCTAATAAAATCGATAATTCCGTGTTTCAACTCGATAAATATCGAAAATCAGCCACAAAATACGTTGAAAACAACCAAAAAGGGCAATTCCAAGCTCGTTATCACACACGAAAAAACCCGAAAACTCGGGAAAAAGTTGTCGATTTTTTCTGGGAGGGGGACATGAACGTGTAGAGTGCCGCTTGAGAGAAAAAAAACTGGTTCTTTTCCGCTCTCCTCGATTCCAACGCTATTTCTCCCGGGGCCGCAACACATGACGACCCCCGCAACGTAAATTGAAACTCGGAATTGAACGTTTCATCGGCTATTGATACTCAATTCTTTTTTTTTTATATCCCCACAAATTACACGAAATGATCATCGAAACACTGGATTTTCTAGGGTTCAACAGCACTGCAATGCATAAATGATTAGAGAAACGGAACAGACATTAATATTTGAGCGTTAGAATGCCCATATTCACCTGCTTTCCGAGGATTTTCTTCGTCTAGTGAATTGAGAAAGTTTCTTCTCCATGGAAATTTGGATAATTTATCACTGAAAAATGTCTCGGAATTGAATAATTTTACTGAAAAAGTTCCAGTATAGAAAAAATATTGAAAAGATGAACAGTTTTCAGTGTTAATTCAAGTTCAGAAGACTTAAACCTTCGAACAGACTATTTAAAAGAAAATTACAACATAAACATTTTTAGAAAGATTAAAAGTTCAAAATACCCTTTTCCTTGTTCCTAAAGTTCAAAAAACCCTTTAAAAAGCGTTCTTAGTCTTCTAGAGCGCTATATATTCGTAATATAATCAAGAACAAGATCGAAAACAATAAAGAAACAAAGAAAAAAAGGAAAAAGTTTCAGAGGCGTAAAACTTCTAGGAGCCGAAAAAGTACAATAGCGCGCGCTTTCTCTCAAGCCCTTTTTTTAGAAAATGCATTGGTTGTTCGAAAACAGTGAAATTTAAGCTTTAATTTAGTATTTTCTCCTTGCACCAAGGTACACGCGGTTCGAAATCAGAAGAAAACGAGCCGCACGGCTTCCCCGTGAAAGATTAATGCGAATTTGCGAAAATCCTCTCAAATTCATGGGAGAAAAAACCGGATTAGCTGGTGATTTTTCATTGAGGAAGCCTGGTTTCCAACGGAATTTGATTAAAATCCTATAAAAAGCTGTGAATCACTTTTTTTGTAGTCAAATTTTTGCAAAATTTGATTTTATAAGCTTTTCACATAAGTCCATTTAAACTACAATTTTTTTGTTCTTGCATGAAAAATTTCCGCTTCGCAGTGAGTAATATTTAATTTTTTTCCTTTAAGTTGAATTTATAAAGTGCAAAAAAAGGCTTCATATCAAGGATTATTGAGCAAATTTGAGATTTGAACCTTTGAAAATGTCAAAAAAAAAAGAAATAAATGATCAGAAATCACATTCGACGTAGAAAATACTTGAGACGTTTTTGAAAATTGAGGTCATTTGGAGAAAAAGGCGAAAGTTCGTATGTACTTTGGTCAAGTTTTTTTACCGCCCTATTTTTTTTTTCTGGGAGGAATTTGACCAATTTTTAAGTTTTCAAGCTCTCCTCGGTGACTTTTTGAGACATGTACTTTGAAAAAAAGTTATTTTATCACTGAAATTTGAAAATTACATGGTAGATAAATAATTCAGTGAAAATGCTATTTTCGAACCTATATTCATAACTTTTTCTGAAAAATGTGACTTTGAAGCAAAATTTAGAGACGAAAGGTTCATACTACATTCAATTTCGAGCTTTTGGGGAAGAAAAGGCGAGATGATGATGCTAATATGAGCAATGAATTGCAAGAAAAGATAATTTTGGTTGAAACTCGCTGCTTTTTCAAACAGGAATGAAAAAAGAAGCGTAGCTCAGTGGCTAAGACTAATTTCTATCATCCAAAAGGTCACGGGTTCGACTCCTCCTGACAAAAAACGTCATTTTTTCTCTTTGCTACTCGAAAATTTTTGAAAAATGGTTTTTTTTTTGATGGACCAGTTGACAATCTTGACAATTTCGACTTAAAAAAACTCATTTTTTCAAAAAAAAAGTATTTTTTTCCTTTTTTTTGAATCTCGAAAAAGTTTGATTTCGAGTGTAATTTTTTTCACTTTCAAGCTCCTAACATGGCTTTAATCAACTCAAGACGTCGATAACACACGTAGTTCTACATAAAAAGGTATATAAACCATTTAGAAAGCGCGGCTCAGTGGCTAATACTTCAGTCTATCGTCCAAAAGGTCACAGGATCAAACCCCCTCGGGTCAATTTTCGTCTATTCAACTTGGAAAAACGTGAGGCTTTGAAATTTTCCCAATTCATAAAGCTTAAAAAACCCGGGAAATCTTTTTTCGAAAAGAGGTTCCAGGTTTTTCTCAAGTTGTAGACTGTTTTGGTAGTAACTAAGATTTTTTTAATAACTTAAGAAGTCAATTGAAGTTATATTATCAGGAGAGCTCAGAAAAAGGTAGGAAAAGGTAGGAAAAAGGTTCTGGAAGGTTCTTCTTTTGAAGGAACCGATTAAAGTGGTTATCACTCCCAAAAGTAAGGGGGGCTTTAAAAGGGTAGAAAAAAGGTTCTGAGAGGTTCTTCTTTTTCAAGGAACCGATTAAAATGGTTATTTCTCTGAAAAGTGAAGAAGAGCTCGAAAAAGGTAGAATAAAGGTTCTAGAAGGTTCTTCTTTTCAAGAAATCGATTAAAATGGTCATCACCCTGAAAAATGAGGGGGGGGGGGCTTAAAAAAGGTTCTAGAAGTTTCAACGTGTATCTCTGTTCTGACAGTAACTTCGATTCGAAGAACAAGGAGCTCTTTTGAAATATGAAATCACCTTGAAAGCAATAAAAACTCGAGTAAAAGGTAGGTATTTGGCGCAACAAAAACAGCCATTTTCCAACAAATCTATGATTTTTTAAGAATTTCTTGGTTATTCTACTCTTTGAATAATCACGAAAAATCAGTTTCAACCTTGGGATTTTCGAAAAACATAAAACAATGAAAAATCGAGTAAAAGGTAGGTATTTGGCGCAACCAAAACAGCGCATTTTCCAACAAAATCCATGATTTTTGAGACTTTAATGGTTATTCTAACCCTCGGATAACCTCGAAAAATCAGTTTCAAATGGAAGATTTTCAAAAAAACATAGAACAATGAAAACTCGAGTAAAAGGTAGGTAAAGAGAAACGGGAACCAACTCTAGAAATGGAGAGAGAGGCGAGGTTGCGGCGGCGGCGGCGGCGACGTTCTGCAATGAAAGGAGCAGGTCGGCGGAGAGCATTTGCGGCTGGAGGCCCGTTCCCGCGGTCCCTGAACGGATCCTAGTAATTATTTGCAACGCTTAATGAGCTTCGCCATACGGGGCCGAAATGTCTCGGCGTCCTAAATTATTCGCCGTGTTTCTTTCCGAACACTTTTTGAAGCCTTTCTCAATTTTATTTTTCTTCTGAAGGATCTAATTTCCAAAGAAACGGGTCTTGAGACGAAAATTGGATAAGTTCCGAGGAATACCAATGAGTTTCGGCTTACGAATTTGGAATTTCCCGGTCTAAATTTTTTTTTCGAACTTTCAAAAATTTATCAAGTTTCATAAAGTTTCCGTAACGCATATTGCTTTTATATAAAAAAAGCCAAAAAAATCAAAAAAATCGATGTTTGAAAAAAATGGGTCCTGAAACGAAAAGAGAAAAACTTTCGTTTTTTTGGTACATTTTTTTCGAACTTTTTCAAGTTTTGGTGGATACTGCAAAAAAACCTAACCATTAAACGCCAAAAAAATCAAAAAAATCATAAAATCATCGATTTTTTTGAATGGGTCCTAAAGCGAAAAAAATTTTTCGAGAATACGGTAGCTCAGTTTTTTTCCTCCAAACACCAGCAGTGAATCGAATAAAAAAAATCTGGCGAAATTGGAGAAATTCAAAAAATTTCCATATTTTTTCTAGGAAAACTGTTTTTTCTTTCGAAGAAATGGGTCCCGAAACGAAAATCGGAAAGCCTTCAGGGTTACGGTAGCTTGGTTTTTTCACAAGCTTTCAGTTTATTTTTCATAAAACAAGACACTTTTCACATTTTCTTTCTGAAAAAAATTTCGGTATTCCTTCAGAAAACCCAATTTCTAAAGCATTTTTGCTACGTTTTCTATGATTCTCTCAAATTTGCACAAATTTCAAACGCTATTCGAAGATGACTAATACGTTTCGAAATTTCAAAACATTTGGTTTCTGCTCAAAAAACGCCAAAAATAGCGTTTCCACCAGACGGAAAATCGTCAAATAAAAACGGTACCCCGGCCAAAAAGTCGCTGAAACAGCTGAGCCATCACAGAAAGTACAGATTATTGCAGCGAAAAGAATACTGTTTGGCTCATCGGAAGAGGGGGAAAAACTGCGAACAATAAGAGGCAAAATGCGAGGACGATATATGAAACTGAGGAACTCGTTTTTGGTCCCACCCATCGTCTCTATGAAACCAAACAATAAACAGAATAGTGTATGAACCCCGTGGTTGATTCCTACAAACATCAATGAACCAGAAAAAAGGCAAAAAGTGGGGTGAAAAACAAAGATTTCCTATCAAAAACTGAAATTTTGATTTTTGATGGGTTACGGTATGCGCTTTGGCCGTGGTGATTGCGACGGTAAAATGCATACTCCAAAGTTTTTGCAAAGTTTTTACATTTTTTTTTTCAATTTTTCAATTTTAAATGATACTCACCCCAAAGATTAATTTCAGGTTGCTGTGAAACTGATGGCTGATGTGCTCGGAAGCCCGAATTGCGTAATGAAAACGGGATTTGTGCTGCTGTGCTCGTCATCTGAAACAAATTATTGTCAATTTATTTTTCAAGCAATATTTATGTCTTTCAGAAAGAAGAAGCTGTTCCTAACGACCTCAAAAAACCGTTCAACGATCAAGAAAATCAAAAACCAGCTGCCAAACACTTTGCAAGAAACAAAAGATCTGAACGAAATGGCACCGATCGGAAAATATTTGTCGCCAAGGAGGAAGATAGTTAATCTCCGCTCGGCTGGGCGGTGTGAATTAAGGAAAATACGAGGTTACTGTGGCTTTTTATAGGAAAGATAATTTTCTTACTGTATGCAGTTTATTGAGAAAAGATAAAAAGAAAAATACAAGCTTGAAAAAATTTATTTTAGGGATTCTTTAGTTTTCTTGCGTCCTTTTGATGTGTATCACAGTGTTTAGAAAAAAATTGTACAGTAAAAATTATTTCGCCGAAGTTACAGTATTCTTTGATGAAAAACTGGAAAAAAGGAAAAAAATGTGATAAATACGGAAATGCATTTAAAAAAATATGAAAATGAGAGGAAAAAAATCGAAAAAAATCGCATTTTCAATGATTAATCTCACGTTTTCACTTGAAGAATTTTTTTAAAAATTATTACTGGGTTACTGTACTTTCTATGTAGAACACTTCAAATTAACAAGAGGAAAAGAATCGATAAAGCTGAAATATATTGAAAAGCGAACTGAGAGGATAGATACAAACAAAAAAAAACGGGAGAAAATCGGAAAAAAAGCCGCGTTTTCAGTGATAAATCTCACATTTTATTTCAAGGATCTTTCAAAAAAATTCTTGGGTAACTGTATTTTTATTGATATTACTGTAAGTAAAAAGAGACCTGTGAAATTAATTTTTGAAAAAAATCCTAAAAAAATCAAGAAAAAAAGCTGAATGAAAAAAATCGCATTCTTCTAGTAACTTTCTGAACTCTTTTTCCCGGGTTACTGTAGACGTATTCCCTACTCCTAATCAGTCAAATTAACAAGCGGAAAAAAATCGATAAAGCTGAAATATGTTCAAAAAAATTGAAGCTAGAAGAAAAAAACGGGAAAAATCGGAAAAAAGTCGCATTTTCTTCTCATAAATTTATCAAAAAAACATTTTTTTCTTACTAGAAATTTTTGAAAAATCTAAACAAGTCTTGGTATAAATCCAGGGAACTTCTTCAAAAAAATCAAAAACTGAAAAAGCCGCTGTATTTTTTTATTAATGATACTGTAAGTAAAGAAGATTTTTTTCGATTATTCAAAAAAACCTTTTAAAAAAATCAAGAAAAAAACAGAAAAAAATCGGATTTTTTTCGCTCAGCAAGATTTTGAACCCTTTCCCGGGTTACTGTAGACGTATTCCCTACTCCTAATCAGTCAAATTAACAAGGGGAAAAAAAGTCGGAAAAACACGGACGTCTGACCGAAATTTCTCCACCTGTTTCGTGTTGTTTTGTTTTTTTAGCGTAAGGAACACGTCACTTTTTGCAAAAATGACGTCAACAACTGTCGTGAATAATCTCTAGTGCACTAACGATTCGATGGAGGGAGGGGGGCAAAAACATTGAACCTTCGTTTTTTTATCTGCAAAAAAAGTGGTGGGAAGAAACTAGATTCTCGTTTTTTTATGGTCTCCCAAACGTTCGGAGATCAGGGAAACTTCAAATTTTATGAGCCAAAAAAAAATTTAGTTGAAGCTTTTCAGGCCTAACAATTGAAAAAGGGACTTCGAAAAAAATCGCAATTTCAAGAAAAAAATTGCCAAAAAAAGTGTTGATTTTTTTATTCTGAAAAAAATGTTTTTTTTGACTCTAAAACCTTAAGAAAAAAAGTTAAAAATTTCCTAAAAATTTCAGTTTTTTTCATAAATCCTGTTCAAAGCGTCTGCTTCCTAAATTTTGGCCAAAAATTATATATCTTAATTTTTCTGTCTAAAAATCGACGAAAAAAATGGACTTTCAAATGAATTTCTTTTTTTCGAAAAATTTTTTTAAATTTCCTTTTATATTTTTTTCAAACTTTCTGTTTTTTTCCTAAAACTCCTTATCAATTCCTCTGATTTCAAAAATTTTGGCCAAAAATTTCAATTTCAATTTTCTGTCTAAAAAAATCTATGAAAAAAATGGGCTTTAAAATGAATTTTTTTCTCTACTAAAAATTAATAATTCTCCTTCATTTTTTTTTGCGTACTCTTCAACCTAAAAAAATCTTGATTAAATCCTCTGATTTTTAAAAAAATTTGGCCAAAACAAAAAAATCAAAAAAATTTCAATTTCAATTTTCTGTCAAAATATCGATGGAAAAATGGACTTTCAAATGAAATTCTTTTTTTCTAAAAATGTTTACTTTTTCTTCCAATTTTTTTAAAAATTTACTGACAAATCCAAAAAAATTCTGACCGAATCCTCTGATTTTTTTAAAAATTTTGGCCAAAAATAACTAAAAAAAGTTAATTTCAATTTTCTGTCAAAAATTCGATGAAAAAAATGAACTTTTAAATAAATTTCTTTTTTTCTAAAATTTTTTTACTTATTTTAAATTTTTTTCTACAAATCCACTGGGAAATCTAAAAAAATTCTGTCCAAATCCTCTGATTTTAAAAATTTTGACCATCAAAAAATTTTTAATTTCAATTTTCTGTCAAAAATATCGATGGAAAAAAGGCTTTTTTTAATGAATTTAGTTTTCCTAAAATTTTTAGGAAAAACTAAGTTCATAAAAAAATTGTTTTTTTTTCAAACATTGTCAATTTCCAATTTTCTCGGATTTCTGAGGTTTTTAAAAAATTCTTGATTCTGAGCCGATTTTTCAGTCTAATTATAAAAAAGGACACCTTGATTTTTCGATTTTCTGAACTTTCCAACTGTTGACCAGACTTTGAACAGGTTTTATTCATTTTTAAGTCAATGAAATCAGCCAAAAAACTCACACCACCTCGTTGGAACCTGATAAAAAAAAAATTAGGGCTGGAAAATAAACGAAAGGGACGACTTAAGGGATCAAAAACCAGGAAATGGAGGCAAAAATTAGCATGATTTGATGTTGACGAGGGGAAGAAAAAAACGAAGAAGAACTGGAGGTCCGTCGCGTGTTTTATACCCAACGGATTGTTTTTCCTCCTGGCAAAATGCCAAAAACAGCTTTTTTCTTCTTAAAGCTCCACCCCCACTGAGAAAAGGAGCAGCTTGTGAGGGTGTTTTCGAGTTTTGGAAGGCTTTTTTGGACCTCAGAGGTTGATTTTGAGCTTTTGGATGAAGCTCGGGATTTTCGAACAGAGCCTGGGAAAATTTTTAGTGGCCACTATAGAGGTCTAAGTGCTACTACTAGACCTCTTAGTGCCCACTTTAGGGATCAATGGATCATCATGACTGGTCCAATCTGTTTGTAAACATGAATTCTCGTTCCCAGGAGCTCAGATTGAGGAAAAATGAGTCGCAGGTTCAATTCCTCTTCACTTCAAATCATTTTTGCCATTTTTCCAAGAGCCCTCCGCGAGAATAAACATCAAAAGCTTCAACATGAAATTTTTGAATAGAGCCTGGGAGAATGTTTAGTGGCCACTATAGTAGTCAAATTAGTGGCCACTTAAGGGGTTGAAAATTAGTGGCCACTATAGAGGTCTAAGTACTACTACTAGACCACTTAGTGGCCACTTTAGGGGTCAATGGATTGACATAACTGGTCCAATCTGTTTGTTTCAAAATTATCAGAGTTACTGGAAGGAATACTGGATGAAAAACTACTGGAGTGGCCACTATAGAGGTGGATTTAGTGGCCACTTTAGCGTCCTCTCCAAGTAGTCCTTGACGAACCTCTATAGTGGCCACTAAAATTTTTCCCAGGCCTTGAACTCGCTGGAAAAAAAGACCAGCTTGTTTGAGAAAAAACTACTCTTTAAAAACTTAACCCCTTAAGTGGTCACTAATTTGACTACTATAGTGGCCACTAAAACGTCAAAACCCTATAGTGGCCACTGAAAATTTTCCCAGTAACACATCTTTTAGAGAGGTAACTTCAATGGGAGACAACTATTGTGAAAAGGGTGACCAAAAAACCAAAATTGCAAAAAAGAATACCGTATCTCGAAAAATTTCTACAGTAACCCAAGATGTCATGTACTGAAAAAGTTCCTAAAATTGCATTACCTATCGATTGATATACAACTTGACTGGAAAAAAAAACGTCAATTCTTAGATACGCAGGTACCGTAACTTGGCTACCGTAAGAGGGAATAGCTCAAAAAGAACTTGTTTCCGCATTTCTGATGATAGGTTATCACACTCGTTGAAGTTTGAAATGAAATTGAAAAAAAACACTTTTTTGTATTTTTTTTTGATTTTGAGATTTACCTAGACATCGTAGCGGTCGAGATTTCAAAAAACGAGATTTTTTCGAATTTCTTCTAAAAATGGTCCCTGGATTCGCTAAAAACCTCTTTTTTTGCAATCCAGAACTTACTACCTTTCAAATTTTAGGACAAACTTCCGGTATTTTCCAGACTTTAGCCATGAGAATAGTCGTCAGAGCTGTAGTTTTTCGGCGATTTCGAGATAAGCCTATGCGGGCGGCGAAGGTGGAAGCAGATTTCGATATTTGCGTAAGAACTTCGCTTGGTGTCGTAAGACGAGGGGCTTAAGGTTTTTGGATCGAATTCGGATGTCTACTGTACCTCCCCTCTAGTGATCGATAAAAGAAGTACTTTTTGAGGTATTTAGAGCCGAGCGGCTTAAAATAACAAAGAAAACAGCTCTTCCCTTCGAGACCTTTCATGGATGTTGACTATGCTCCTTTAAAGACCTCACCGGGGAGGTCATTTTATTTTGCGGTGTAAAAATGCAGCTGGATTATTTTGGCTTTATCGACCACAATTTTTTTATATGATTTCTAATCCTCCTGTAGCTCTCTGGAATTGTGCTGAAGATTATTTTCAACAAAATAGTCAAATTTCAGCTTCCAGAAAAAATCAAGGACTTCTTTAATTTGTTATAACCCTTTCCGGGCCAGCTTTCTGAGCTACAGTAGTCTTTTTTCGAAGCTTCCTTTGTCTGCGCCTTTAAAATAGTGCGCATTTAAAGGCGCATGCAGAGGCAGACAAGTGTACTGTGGCTCGGACAAGCGCGTAACAATGTAAAAGTAGAAGTGACCGAACTATTTTTAAAAAAAAAGCCGTAGTGCAACAGAAAGTGCGCTTGCCTACGGCTCAAAGGGTCACAGGTTCGATCCCCGCCGCGACGTAATCACTGGGGTTTTGGTTCCAGGGCTTCACCGAAAGATCGGATAGGTCAATGGAACCGCTCAATTGGGACCTGGCCTCTACCACTTTAGGGGCCGACATTGCTCAAGCCACAAGCGAATCGAGAAAAGGTAGCGCTATATAACCTCAGGGCTGCAAGTCTAACGATGGTACCATACACCTCTGAGGACTTTGAGCGATAGACTTCAGGTCGAGGACCTATGGTATGGCTCAAGCCACAAGCGAATCAAAGAAAGGGTAGCGCTATATTACCTAAGGGCTACCTCAGGTATACCAAAGGGCTGCAAGTCTAACGATGGTACCATGTACCTCTAGGGATATTGAACAAAATGTGATAGGCTTCAGGTCAAGGATCTATGATATGGTTCAGATAGGGCTAAAAGGTATACTGGAAGGGTATATAAAGGGGTACCCCATTTTGAGAGGTATATATTCACGGCCACATTATGGTACACCCCCGATTCGCCTGTGAAGACAACAGAAGAACAAAAAGACTCACATCCATGCCCATGAGCTGCGCGGCGGCCGCACTCAGAGAAATCGTCGGCGGTGGCGGCTGGAGCAGCGGCGTGGCCGTGGACGTCGACGGCGGCGAGTCGGTCACGTCGAGGAGGTTGTCGAAGGCGGCCGCCGACAGCGACGAGGTCGACGACGACGCCGGCGGCACCGGAAACCGGAGGAGCGCCGTCGCGGACGCCGACACCGGATTGCCACTCGATGTCGAGGGTTTCGCCGTGAACGCGCTGCTCCCTCGCAGTGGATCTATCGTGGAGTTGCCTGGAATTTAAGATATATTTTCAACTTTAAGAAGAAGATTTGAATGGGATATTGAGGGAAAAGAAGGTGAAAATGAGCTAGAAGCCGTTGGGAACTCAATTTTCTGGTTTGGCTTCAAGAAGCTCAAGAACAGTTTTTAAAAACAATGAGAAGATTCAGAAGTTCTCAAAAAATGGATAAAGGAGATATTTCAAGAGCAACTTTCAGAAGATCCAGAATTTTTGAAGTTCAAAAAAAGGTTGACAGACCTAAATTATATACAAGAAAAGCTTCTTTGAGTTGATTTTCATTTCATTTTTTTTTGGCTTTTCTGGAAGTCACAGACATGATAAATGTCATTAAACAGGTTCTAGGTTCGATTCCTCACCACGCCTAACAATTTTTGCCATTTTTTCTAGAGCCCTCAGCGAGAATAAACATCAAAAGCTTCATCATGAAGGTCTCAAATTCAATTCCTCTCCACGTCGAATTGTTTTTGCCATTTTTCCCAGGGCCCTCAACCAGAATAGTTATCGAAAGTTTCACCAAAAGGGTGTCAGGTTCAATTCCTCTCCACGTCAAACCATTTTTGCCATTTTTCCTAGAGTCCTCAACGAGAATAGATATTTAAAGTTTGACCAGGAGGGTCACAGGTTCAACTCCTCCGCACGTCAAGTTATTTTTGCCATTTTATTTTAGTTTTCAAAAGCGAAAAGTAATGCTAAACATATATTATTTAAGCTAATTAAAGCTCAAATTGGGGAAAAATGAGTCTCAGGTTCGATTCCTTTCCGCGTCAAATCATTTTTGCCATTTTTCCTGAAGCCCTCATTGAGAATTGAGATCAAAAGTGTCATCAGTAAAGTCACAGGTTCAATTCCTCTCCACGTCAAATTGTTTTTGCCATTTTTCCTGGAGCCCTCAGCGAGAATAAACATAAAAAGCCTCACCAGGATGGTCTCAGGTTCAATTCCTTTTCACGTCGAATTATTTTTGCCATTATTTTTGCGATAATATGATAAACAAGATTCAAGTCGTCCCACATTTTTTTTCAATTTCAAAATTTAATCGACCATTGACCGATTCGTCTACGATACAAGTGACGCCAAAACAGGCGTTTCTACATCAAATTTTTTGCTTTCGACATCAAAAAACTGTTTTTTTTTTTTCTGGCCCTTTTTATCGTTCATGTGCGCTCCACGGGGAGAAGATAATTGGTGGGAAGATTGAGAATTCGAACGCATCTTTAAGGGTTCATCGATTAAAATGTGTTTTTTTTTTTTGAGAGGACAACAATTTTCGAGTTTGCTGCGTGTGCATGTAAACACGTTGAGCGATTTTCCCAAGGCATTCAATTATTTTTTCAAAGAGAAAATTGAGGGTTCAGAAAGTTATTGGACTTTCAAAGATGTTAGTGAGAAAAAAACAAAAAAATCTCGAAATTCAAAGATTAAAATTTCAGAAATTCATAGGAAAAACAGCTTGCTTAAGAAACTGGAAGCTTCAAATTTGTTAAAATTCATTTTTTTGAAGAGAAAAAAACTTAAAAAAATAGCAAAAACCACTCTTGCATCAATAATTATGACGCAGTGAAAAATCACCATTTCTTTTAACTTGAAAAAAATCAGAAAAAAAGAAGTCGTTTTTCTCGAAATACTGATTTTCATACAGATCTAGGAAATTTAATATTTTATTCAAAAAAAGAAAAATTTTTAAAAATGACAAAAAAATTAGCAAAAAAACTAATCTTGCATCAATAATTAAGACGCAGTGGAAAAAAACACTTTTTTTAATTAAAAAAATTTTTTGAAAAAAATCGGAAAAATAAAAAAATTGTTTTGCTAAAAAAATTAATTTTTTTATACAAATTAGAAATATTTTTAATATTTTATTCAAAAACGAGAAAAAAACTCAAAAAAATGACTGAAAAATGAGAAAAAAATTATCTTGCATCAATATTTATGACGCATTTAAAAAAATCACATTTTCTTTCAATAAAAAAATTTTTTTTTCGAAAAAAATCAGTAAAAAACTATAATGCTTAGAAAAACTAACTTCTATAAGAATTGGGAACATCTCAATATTTTATTTAAAAACGAAAAAAATACTCAAAAAAATGACGAAAAAAATAGCAAAAAAACTAATCTTGCATCAATATTTATGACGCAGTGAAAAAAATCAATTTTTTTCTCCCAGTTTCGAGCTATTCTGTAGCGTATTCCTTGTAAAAGGCACTCAAAAAATGTTTTGTTTTTTTTCAAGAGGTTTCAAAAAAAGTAATTTAGTTTAAAAAAATATCCGAAATTCTAAGAAACTTTGAAAAATAAACAATGCGTCAATAATTATGGCGCAGTTAACGATACTTTGAGCCATTCCAAATGCGGCCAAAACTTATACGAATCTAGAAGATTCTAATATTTCATTCATAAAATTCAAAAACGAAAAATCAAAAAAATCAAAAAAACGACGAAAAAAAGTAGCAATAACTAGTCTTGTATCAATAGTTATGACGCATCAGAAAAAAATCATTTTTTTAAATTCAAAACTACTTTTTACCGAATTTTTCAATTAAGGTGCTCAATAAAAAAAAATTAAGATTTCAAAAAAATACCCTATCATTAAATAACCCTGAACTTCTCAAAAAAATATAAGAAAGTAAAAATAATGAGTCAATAATTATGACGCGGTTGAGCCATTCCAAATGCGGTCAAAATTTGAAAAAAAGGAAGGAAAACTGAAAATTTTCAAAAACAAGCTCCAGACAAGTTCTATCTCTTTTTTTTCTCAATTTCCTTTTTTCCCCTCCAATTTCCTATTTCTGAATATTTGTCCCTCACTGATTATCAACAGAGCTGCATTGCCCTTTCCAAAAACGCTATCAATTTTCGAGATTTTTCCGCACCTTTAAAGATTGTGAAAATATAAATATTTTTGGGCGCACACGTTGAAAAAAGGGTGTCTAAGTTTTGGAAAATATTTATGCGGTCACTGGATTCTGCTGAGCCTTTTCTATGGCCACATGGGAAAACAAAACAAAAAGTGCCAAAGTTCGAGAAAAGTTGAGAAGAAGCTGGAATTTATAGTGGGGGAATTTCCAAACTTTGAACCGAGAAAAGGGAAGATTTTTTTGAAAAATTCTTGAGGTTTAAAAAAATATCAAACTCAAAAACGATAAATTTTTTTCCTAGCTTGATTTCGAGGTCAGAAGTTTCGAGGGGGACTTTTTTTCTAAAAAAAGCCGCGTCTTAATTATTGACTCGTAGCTCAAAAATTATAACAAAAAGTGATTTTTTTCCACTGCGTCATAATTATTGACTCAGTTCGAATTTTTTTCAGAGATTCTCAAAATTTCGGATAACTTCATACTTGAAAATTTTTTTTTTGAAAAATTATTTTAAAAAAACATTTTTTTAAGTACCTATAACAAGCTATTCCCTACAAAGTAGCTAAAAATTGTAACAAAGGGTGATTTTTCCACTGTGTCATAATTATTGACTCGGATCGAATTTTTCAAAGATTCTCAAAATTTCGGATAACTTCATACTTGAAAAAAATGAGAAATTATTTAAAAAAACATTTTTTTAAGTACCTATAACAAGAAATTCCCTACAAAGTAGCTCAAAAATTGTAACAAAAAAAGTAATTTTTCCAACTGCGTCATAATTATTGATGCAAGATTATTTATCCCGGATTTCTTGTCATTTTTTTCAAGTTTTTTTCCTTTTTATAAAAAGTTTAAGATGTTCCAGATCTGTATAAAGATCATTTTTTTAAGCAAACCATTTTTTTTTCTGATTTTTCGAAAAAATTTTTCAAGTAAACGAAAAGGTTTCTTTCACTGCGTCATAATTATTGATGCAAAGCTATGAAAAAAATCCTTAGATAGAAAAATTTTTATTCAACTATAAAGAAAAAAATAGAATTAGTTTACACTTCGAAAAGCTCTAGTGGCCCCTTAAGAGGCTCCTCAAGAACTACTGGGAGAGAACACTAAAGTGACCACAAAAATCCGCCTCTATTTAGTAGCCACTATAGTAGTTTTTAGCGACCCAGTAGTACCACTTAGACTTCTAAAGGGGCCACTAATATTCAACCACTTAAGTGGCCATTATTTCGACCACTAGAGTGGCCACTTGAACCTCGAAACCCTAACGCGGCCACAAATCAAAAAAAAAATTTTTTCAAATTTTTTTCACTGTCTCAATTTCCATGCTTCTTATTTCATTTTATTGGAATTATTACTTTTTTCAAATCCCTAGAGAAAATGGTCTTAACTTTCCGTAAAAAGGAATGTCTGACCTCAAATTTTGAGAAATGGAAAAAAATTGGGAACTAAAAATTCTCTTGGGGAAATGATCTCATTTGACCTAAAGAAGGTTCAAAAAAAGTTCATTTTTTTCAAATTTTAATATTTTTTTCACTTTTTTTCTTTTTTTCAGAGCTCTAAATTCCTACATATAAATAAAATTTTTTTCCTGTTGGAACAAAAATCGTCTATTTTCAAAAAAAAAACTTCCTTCTAGAGGAATTTCTTAAAAAAATTTCCTAAACCCGTATCAAAATTCGTAATCTCCACCTGACCAGGTGAAGGAAAAGACTTTCGAAATTCATTTTTCATGGGAAAATGATCCGGATGAACTAAAAATCGGAATTTTCTCTAAAAATTGTGAAATCACTTAAATTTCAAGCTTTCTCATGATTATAGTGAACATCATTCCAATAAAAAAGGTATGATTAAATTTTAAACGTTAAGAAAAAAAAAGGGAAAGTCCATAAAAGGTTATAATTATTCGAGAAAATGGACAAATTTCTGATTTCTACCCAATTTATCACAAAAAAACGTTGTGAAACCGAAAAAAATCCCAAATTTGTGGAATTTTTTTATATGGAAACTAAAAACAAAAAAACTAAATTTTTTTATTGAATAAACCCCTCAAAAATCAAAAATTTTTTTGGAAAAATTACGAAAAAAATCTGGAAATATTTGTGATTTTTATTCCATTTCCGGATGCTGCATAATGGAAAAAAATTATTTTCATTTTTTTAAATTTTCTGTGAGAAACTGGAAAGTAAGAAAAATCCGAAAAAAATCTATTTTCTTCCTAATTCTTGTCAAAATTGAGCTTCCAAGATTTTTTTTGAGACTTTTTAAATATCAAAATCTTGAGTTTAAAAGCAAAAATTTTATTGATTTAGATCCGAAATTTTGATATTTCCTCTCAAAAAAACGGAAATTTGGCTTTCTATACCTTGAAAAAAAGTCAGAAATCTGATCGAAAAAGCTCAGAAAAAAACCCGGAAAAAAATAAATTGTCCGGAATTTATATAGGAATTTCAATGAGAAAGCGAAAAATCTTCTAAAAAAAGGGTATAACTGTCAAAAAAATTCCAAAAAAATCCTAATTTCCCGTTCAAAAATAAGCCAAAAAAAGAAGCTTGAAATAGTATTTTTTTCCATAAAAAAATTCGTCTCAGTACAGGAAAATCAATGGAAGGAACGAAATGGATGAAAATTCACGAAGAAAAATTCAAAAATTGGTCGAAAATTACCCTGAATTGGCTCAAAAATAAGCTTTTTTTTGAATAAAAAAAAACATATTCTGCATAAAAAACAAAGAAAAGTCGAAAAAAAACATTTCAAATGAAAATTTGTCGTGAAATTAGAGAAAATGGAGTCGAGAGAAGAGAAATCTCAAAAAAAGGCATTTTTCCGATGTTTGCTGTATAAAAAAATATGCGCATTGCAGCACCAAAAACACAAGGCCGAATTTATTAGTTTTTCCCATAACAGGTGAATTTTTTTCGTCCAATTTCCTGCCTAGACTTGAGTTTGTTTTTTGGAAAATAAGCTCTTTTTTTCATTCCCGCAATAAAATTTTTTTTTTGAACGTTTTTTTTCAGAAACAGGAGCTGTGAAAAAAATTCATTCGAAAAAATCTATTAAAAAAATTCTAAGAAAAAAATTTTTTTATGAAAAAAATGGCAAAAAAATTTAAATTTTAACCTCTTCTCTGTAACATGAGCAATGGTTCTTTAAGATGAGCAATATGAAGCAATAAAACCAAAAATTTTAAATTCCATTGCGTAAAAAGTCTTTTTTCTTAATTACAAATATTTTGGATTGAAGCCAAGATATTCCAATAACATGAGCAATACTTCTTTAAACTGAGCAATACGAAGCAACTAATCTGAATAAATTCTAAATTCCATTGCGTAAAAAGTCTTCTTCTCAATTAATTATGTT